ATTCTTATATCGAGTCGTATATTGAAGAATTGAACCTCGAATAAACAAACAAACAAAGTGGACAAGGGTAAGAACATTAAATGTATGTTCGTATGATGGTTTGATCTAATTTATGACAAAAAATTTTTTTTTTCTTTGATCTTACATTATTATTATTATTATTATTAATAAAAGATACACTGCCAATACGGCACTTGTTTTGATCTTACATCATATTTTTATTTTTATATACATTCTAAATGTCTATTTTTAATGACCAACACCGTAATAACAATATGCAAACGCACGCTACCTCCCAACAAACCCGGAAAACGTGTTATCTACTGGTACAATGAAGAACTTAAATTGAAACATCAACAATGCAAAAGATTAAGAAGAAAATGGAAACGATCGAACAACCAGTTTCTCAAAGAAGCCTACCTCAACCATTACATAGCCTGCCTCAAAGAATACAAAAATCAACTAATTATGACCAAAAGAAATTCCATCAGACAGTTCTTCTCCGTGCAGGACAGCTCTTCCGTCTGGAAACAAGTATACAAATGGTGTAAAACTCCAAAAAATCTCAATCAAAGCCTAAAAACAATAAAAACCGACAACGGATGGACAAATACGCCAATAGAAACAGCTAGTCATTTGCTCAACAAATTCTTTCCCGACGACCCACCCGACAATCATGATCAATCTCTCATCTCCACATCCGCTCAATATCCTCAATCAACGTCGAACGACGTCCCATTTACCACAGAAGAAGTATATGATGCTATTCTAACCGAAAACGACAATAAAAGCCCTGGTGAAGACGGAATTTCCGCCAACATCATCAAACATCTCAACAATCTCTTCCCCACCTTATTCCTAAACATCTACAATGCCTGTCTAAAGCTAGGCACATTTCCGGACAGATGGAAAGTATCTACCGTCAAAGTAATCCCTAAACCTGGCTCGAATCTGCAAACCGCCAAAGCTTTCCGGCCGATTAGTCTATTATCCGTTATGGGAAAAATCCTAGAAAAGCTTCTATACAAACGTCTTCTATTCTGGACATATCAACATCCTACTGGCCTATCCGACCATCAATATGGCTTCAGACCACAACGATCGACGGAAGATGCTATCAACATAATCATTTCACATCGAAAAGAAATTCTGACCAACAACAAATATGGATTATTCGTCTCTCTCGATGTTGCGGGAGCATTCGACTCAGCATGGTGGTCTCTAATAATTCTATCACTCATCGATCTTAATATCCCCAAAAACATTATCAATATATTCAGAAGCTATTTCTCAAACAGGAAAGCTAAACTCACAATATGTGGGGAATCAGCCGAAAAACTACTGAGCCGTGGTTGTCCACAAGGAGCCAAATGCTCCCCTTTATTATGGAATATTCTTTACGATAATCTTCTCAAACTGCATCTACCGACCGGTTGCTACCTTCAAGCCTTTGCGGACGACGCCTTCCTTGTTGTTTCTCATGAAAATCTTAACATATGCGAGGATCGGACCAACAAAGCTCTAGAGAAAATAGCTAAATGGGGCGAAAACAACAAAATTGAATTCAACCCTAGGAAAACGCAAGCAATGCTCATCACCAAGAAAAGGAAAACAAGAGAAATAGATATCCAGATGAAAGGTACCAAAATCGAAATAGTGAAACACATGAAATACCTGGGTGTTATCATCGAGAATAAGAACAAATGGAACCAACATCTCGACCTTATCGCAAATAAGTCACGACGATTGTACCATCAAATACTAAGGACAACAGGGAAGGAATGGGGTCTATCCTCCGACGTTCTAAGAACCATCTACATATCTGCTATCGAACCTATCCTCACTTACTCCTGCTCCTCATGGAATAGCATCCTTGATCTTAAAACTAAACGCGCCAAACTTCTATCAATCCAAAGATCCTTCGCCATTTCCATTATTAAAGGTTACAAGTCGATCTCAGCCGAAGCAGCTCTAGTTCTAGCTAACATTGAGCCAATCGACCTGAAAATTCGTTATTGCTCCAGCAGATATCTCCTCAAGAAAGGAATACCAGACAACGAACATCTTTCTCAAATAACATTCCAACTTAGAGCACCCCTCAGCTATAGGCCACATCCAGCACTCACTACTAACTTCTCCGTTACAAACTGCCGACGCCCCCACCAAATTAATATTTTCACCGATGGCTCCAAGTTGGAAGAACAGACTGGCTGCGCCTTCGTAGCACTAAGGAACGACCTCGTCATACACATCGACAAGAAACGCTTGGCCAACGAATGTTCTGTTTTCCAAGCTGAGCTGCTGGCCATACTATCGGCTACAGAATGGTGTATCGATAAAAATTTCGACGCTAGAATCCACTGCGACTCTCAAGCGGCCATTAAAGCTGTGTGTAGTAGGAACACTTCCGATGCACTAGCTCTGAATATCCAGAAATCCATACAGACAGCTGGAATCCATATTTGCATCATCTGGGTAAAAGCCCATGTTGGCAATGCTGGAAATGAAATGGCGGACCAGCTCGCTAAGGAAGCCACGAAAGGAGAGTCGATATATTATCATTTAGATCCGATATCTTATGGACTACGATTCCTAAAGCTTATAATGACTAAGGACTGGAACATAGCATGGAAAACTGCTATTAAGGGTAGAACTACTGCCGCTTTCTTCCCTTCCATAGAAGACAGAAGGAACTGCCACTTCCTGCCAAACTACGTCCAAACTCAGTTCCTCACTGGGCATGGAAGATTCGCAGCTTACTTAGAAAGGAGAAAAATACATTCGTCGGACCGATGCATCTGTGGAGAACGGCAGACGGCTGAACACGTTCTTTTACAATGTCCAGCCACTTTCAACTCAAGAGCGTTAGTTGAAGCCAGGATTGGGAGTCTCAAGTCACTGGAAATGAATAAGAAGAATTTCCAGTACTTGCTAGAATACATGACCGATGCTTATAAAATACTCCCCCCGCATTAATAACCCTACGTTATATTTTTTTTATATAAAAATTTCTTTTTTTTATGCTATTATTGTGAATATTTCATTATTATCTTCTTTTTTTTTTTTTTTTTTTTGTTATTTTGATTTTTTATTTTCTCTTTTTCATTTTTGTACTACTCTTATTATATCTTTCTTCATTTACGTACCTCTAGTGTATTTTTCTAGTTCTAGAGGTCTTTCCAAATAAAACCATTATTATTATTATTATTATTATTATAAATGTCTATTTTTATATTTATCACAAAAATAGATCAACAACAACAAAAAATGGTTCATTGTGGCTTGGATACACGCACATCATCATCATCATATTCAAAATAGATTCCAATGTTATTTGCATCGATAATGTACGAAAAAAAAAATCGGAAATGATAAAGCCATTTTTGGATTCTTCGATCTATTATTAACACTAGGTCGGTTATTTTTTTTTATTTTCTTCTAATTAATTAATCAATCTAAAATGTCTAATCAAACATTGAACTACTATTTGTAATAATCAATACATGATGTGTTTGTGTGTGTGTGTGAATGTACCGATGTTATGTGGTTTATAAGCCACTGAAAACAAAAATAATCTTTTCGAATCCCACACATATAAACACACAGTAGGTAGGAAAATGATAAAACGATACTGGCTTATGACCTTATGGATCTCCGCAGCAAAAAAAAAGATTCAGCATCAAAAGTAGTAATCTGTTTCGAAAAAAAACGAAACAAAATTGTTGAACAAAAAAAAACACGGAGAGGGCAAAAGAATATCGGTTCGGCTGTTGTATAATGATGATGTGTTAATTGGAAAATTTGTGTTAAGCCTTAACATGCTGGCATTTTGTAATTGTATAAATATAACTTACCATTTTTTTTTGTTTTGTTTTGTTTTGACCGATTTGGATACATTGCAACAAAAATAAAATCGAATGCCCGGTCCAAAACATACGAATAGGATTAACCCGAAAAGCAAATGAAACGATGTGTTTGATAAGCTGTTAGAATTTTTTTTTTCATTAACATCCGATTAGCTCACGATTTTGGATATTGGCGAGACATATGAGAAATCAGAATCAAATATAAATTACCGATTTGTGTATGTGTATGTGTGATGTTTGAAAATGAAAAATTCTGATTTTGTGTTTTGTGGAGATATTTTTTTGACATTCATCTTTCTGAATCTCGGCGCGTTTACCAATGTCTTTTTTTTTCGTTGGTTTGTTTTGTTTTGTTTTTTTTTTGTTGATATTAGAATAGTAAGTAATGAGAAAGAATTCAATCAGAATAAATTTGAAATATTCTGGATTTTGGATTTTTTTTTTCGTGGATCCGATTTTCGCAAACGCAAAATGAATGTTTTTTTTAATTAAATCTATGCTTTTTTTTCTCTCTCTCCCATTATTCAATCCAGTTGTTGATCAGTGAATGATTGGACCGACGACATTTTCAATTCAAACACGGAAAAATCATGAACTTTTTCATCATTCGAATAATAAGTTGAAATAATACTCACACACAGTTAAAATTGAGAATTCAAGTTGGAAACATACAGAATAGTCGTCTTCATGTCAAACACGAACAATTCTTTTTCTTCTTCGATAAAACACAATCACACTTGTTAGGATTCGTGAAATGATTCCTTGTGTTTTCAGTTTTTTTTCTTTCTTTTCTTCATCTTCTATGGCTTACACACACACACATACATTATGTTCGAAGATTTTTTTCTTGATGATTGAATCATGAAATTCTCAAATTCTAAATCGAATTATGTTTCATATGTTTATGAAAACGGATATGTCCAAATAGGTTGACTATTTCGATCCGTTTTGTTGTTCCAAGGGTAACAAGAAATATTTTTTTTGTTCCCTTTTTGCCATCTATCGTTATGAATGTGCAAAGTAAACTAAATTAAATTTTACGTACAACAGAAACAACAACGAAAAAAAAAACATTCCACAAATATATAATGAATTGAATTTTGATAGAAAAACATTGACTATTTCAAAGTAAAAGGAGAAAAAAAATGTTACGACAAGCTGGTAATCGATTGAATAGACTTGGAATGTTTGCATCGGCATTGGTTCCATTCGATAACGATGATGATGATGATGACGATGATTATGATGATAGTCGATCAAATAGATCGAGCCGAAAACAACGATCAAAGAATATTTCCGATGATGATCATTTTGGTGGATCATCAAATGGTCATACATTACGATCATTACGTTGGGTAATTCTAGTATTCCTATTCATCATGATATTCATGTCATTGCATATCTATACTGAAGATCTAAAATATCTAGAAGATCGTAAACAACAACATCGTCATAGTGGTAATCGTTCAGTACCATTAGTATTTGTCATGTCAACAATGTTGTTGATTGGTCTCGGTTTTTATGGTGTTTATCATGTTAAAATGTACTATACATTCATATTTGCAATTTTATTGTCCATTCTGTTGACTATGAAAATGAATACTGATTATTGGCAACAGAATAGCCTTAATTCAATTATGTTTCATATTACACATTTTGTCACATTATTCTGTACATGGGCATTTTCATGTCTTGGTGCATGTCATTTTTGTTGATGATAAAAATTTTTTTTGAATATAAAATCTTTATTTTGAAAAAAATTGAAATTAAAAATGAATCTAAAAATACAAGTCGCGTTTGTACGTGTGTATGTGTTACAATGATTGAATGATTAATGAAAGTTGAAAGAAAAATTATTCAAATTAAAAATTTCATCGAATATGAAATGCACTAACATTGGACATTATATTTTCCTGTTGTTGAAAATCAGTTAACTTTTTTGTATTCTTTTGCCGTTTCTTTTTTACCGAATCGGATTGAAAACAATCCCAGAATCGTAATGTTTCATCAGCACCTAATGAAACAACTGTTGAGCCATCAGCACTCATCGCCATACAAAGTACACGAGCAGTATGTCCAAGTAATTCAGTAACACGTGTAAATTGTGGATATTTCCATATGATTAATTCATTATTAGCAAAACCATGTGATGATATTAGTTCACGATATTGTTCGGACCATAATATAGCAGATACTTGGGATCGTGTATCAACCGAATACATACATTGACCATTCGATGTATTCCATATACGTATCATACGATCATTAGTACCACCACCGCTTGCAAGACAATTATTACGCCATGGACACCATGATAATGCTTTTACAGCAGCTTGATGTTGTATAATCTGAAATAATGGTTGCTCTGAATCATTTGTTGTATCAGAATTATTTTGACCCATAAAACAATTTGGCCATATGTTAACGATATTATCATTACCACCGCTTGCTAATAATTGGCCATTTGGTGACCATTTTAAGCCACAAATTTCCAACGTATGAGCACGGAATGTACCAATTCGACTTGTGGCAATACGGACATCATGATTGAATATTTCACCATCTTTAGTACCATTACTTAGGACATGATTATTCCATGACATACAACTGACTCTAGAAGATGAATTTGTTAGATTACGTAAACGTTGTGATTTGTTTACATCCCAAATCTGTGTGACACCAGTACTAAGACCGACAGCCAGATGTGTATCATTATTATTCACCCATGATAATGATGAAATATAATCCGGTTCATCCAATGCTAATAGATGTACAATACTACCGTCCATTGCATTCCATAGATATACTTCATTATTCAATGCAACAGCCAATATATTTGAACTATTCCAATCGATTAATTGCAGATAATAATCATTTAAAACATCCGGTGCATCCAATATTCGTTCAGGTTGTTTTGAAATATATCTTGCTGATTTTGTTTTCGATGATGATTTCGTACACGAATAAACGACTTTTTTATCATTTAAATAGCCTTCTGGTGGTTTTGGTCCTCCATTATTAAGTGCTAATATTCGATAATTGGCCAAATCGGCTCCAATTATTTTATCCATTTGTTTTGTTGAATTATCTCCCGGTACATTATTACTATTATTCGAATTGTCATCATGATTTGTAACCTAAATTTGTAATGAAATTGATTAATGTTTTTGAATAAAAAAAAATAGTAAATATTACCAAATAATGAATTATTTCAAAATTCATAGCCGAACGATCCGGTATAAAACGATCACCATTTATAGGTGTTTTCGGTGATATTTTATTACCATTCTTATTTGATGATTTCTTATTTTCTTTACCATGATGATGATGTTGTTGACGATTTGGTGTTTTACGGCCACTACCAGGCGTATATGATGTTTGTGCATTAGTCAATTTCAATGATTTAATCGGCGTTTTAACATTTTTCATCGATCGATTAAATGATAGTGATGAAATATTTGAAATATTCAATGATAGATTCTCTAATTGATTGCTCAGGATATTGGTGGATTTATCCATGATGATGATTGATTGATTATAGTTGCCAATCAAACAAACAATCAATCGTGGTCAAGATATAATGATGATGATGTGATTTATTACAAAAAAAACTTGTGTATGATAACAATCGCAGCGAATATAGAATGATAATAAAAATGGTTTTTTTTTAATTTTCGTTTGGCAATCGAAAAAAAAAAACGTTGGACTTTTAAACGTTTGTGTGTGTGTTGTTTCTCACTGTGTATGTATGTGTGTGTGTGTGTATGAAAAGACACGCCCATTATTTAAATACGTTACATTGATTGGCTATAACAATCATTTCGATTTTGTATCGCGATTAAATCGATTGTTTAGTAGATGGATAGAATTTTTGGTTTTAAAAATTTGAAAAAAAATCATAAAAATTTAGTTTTTTTTTCGTTTTAATGATTTATTTTTGGCCACTAAATGGAATTTTTGTTGTTTAAAAAATAAAAGAATAATAATGATTTCATTTTATTGAATCTAATAATTTAAATAAGGTTATTATTATGGTAATGAAATTGGATCAAATGTGACAGTCAGTTTAGTTGGGTCAATTTTGTTAGATTTCGTTTCAATGTTTCGTGTGAGTGTGTGTGTGTGTGTGTGTGTATGTATTGGTGTTTCATTGATCTTCATCTAAAAATTTGATATAATTAAACGGAAAATGTCCTTGTCTGCCATTTAATTCGCCTTCCCATTGGCCATTTAGATTCGTATTCGTTACGGTAATAATGTCACCTTTCTATTTTTTTCGAACAAGCAAGAAAAAAAAATCATTCACTCAATCAATCATTCCAATTTCACAAACCTCAAGTTTAAGCGCCTTTTTATCATAAGCATTAGGTATCCTTTGCTGTATGACAATCGCTTTGGCCGGTAATTTTCGATTCATATTAGTGGTAGATTTCTTATTATTATTAAATGAAATATTCGTTTGTTGCTGTTGTTGGTTGTCAATTTTTTGGTTACTATCATTATTTGTTGAAGATAGTAATAATGATGATTCTTGTTGAATTGGTACAAGATTACTGTTATTTGTATTCAATGATGGATCCATCATTGATGTTGTCGTCGTTGATAATGATGATGATGCGGATGATGATAATGTTGGCGGCGGCTCAAGACTAGATAGTTCATTACTATGGCGATTATTATGATGATGATTATTCGTCATCATCATATCATTGATGCTATTAATGTTGGTGATATTTTTCCCATCAAATTCCGAAGATGATTCATCAAATTTTTCTTTTTCACTTAGATATTCTTCTTCATCGATCTACACAACATCCAATGAGACAAAAAAAACAAACAATTAAATGTTTAAACTTGAATCAAAACAAAATAATTTTTTTTACCGATTCAACATAAGGCACTGGTATGCTACCGATTTGACCACGTTCATTACGTGCACGCCACCATTGATCCTCTTCTTTCGATATGATTGTTAATATTTCATTCTTTTTAAATGGCAAATCTTCTTTATCTTTACCAAGAAAATCAAATTTGGCACGTACATATTCGAGTTTCTTTTTGGCCTGAAAACATCGTATCGATTTATAAGAAAAAAAAATAAGAATTGAAAATAAAAACACATACCGCACGAATTAATGCTGTTGTATCCAGATAATGATGTTTATAATAGGTAAGCAAACTAGGCATATCATGAAATGTATTTTCACCAATCTTAAATTTTGATTCACCATTCACATCAATCTTATTGATTATGTAATGGCTAATCTTATTCTCTTCACTAACAGATAATACAAGATCACCAGCCACTGAATGGCTATAACGAACGAGAAACACTCCTTTATCACGTTCAAATTCTAATATTTCAATCGCTTGATTACGTGTTAATTGGCCGAAAAACCAGCTAAATTGATTGATTGATCAAAATGATTAAAAATAAAATTATTAATAAAAAGAATTTTAAAAATTAATAAAAACAAAATATACCTATTCTGGTCATATGGATCAAATGTGGTCATTTTTTTCTATTTGTTTTGGTCAATTTTTCAAAAAATTTGCAATATGATCAAATAAATCACAGGAATTTCAATGAAATGAATCAATTAACTACATTAGTGACACTTAGATAGATGAATGAATGAATGAATCAATCAATCGATAAACCAAAATGATGACAACAAAAAATAAACGACGACACACAGTGGCAATTTTGATGATAATAAACCTCGTCGTAAAACAAACAACAGATCAACAAAAAAAAGAACGTTTTATTATGTGTTAATAAAACATGAAAATCAATGGGCGCATACCCATCATCATGATGCCATCTATCGGTTGTTCATTTAAATCCACATATGAAATCATGATTCGTTTTCTTAAAAATTCTGTTTTATTTATTTATCTCATCTCATTATTACGGTCCATAACTTTATTTACATAAAAAAATAAGGCAAAAAAATTTACAAAAAAAAATCATATTTATGATAACAGATGATGACCATGAGTCGATTATATTTTGATTCGAATCAATTGTTTTCAGATTTAATTTCTTCAACAAATGATTGTTCCATTGTTGTTGCTGCTGTTGGTGAATCAATCGATTGATTGACAGATTTGTCTGCTTCTTCAATCTGTGTCGAACACAATGGACAACGATTTTGAATGGCTAACCATTTTTTAATACATTTTCGATGAAATAAATGTTTACAATCGGTTATAACGATGACCATTGAACTTTTCATTAATTTCATTTCACTATAACAAATTGAACATAAATCATCATATTTATTCAATTGTTCTACGTTTTCCACCAAACATAACTGATCAACAATACGATTTGCTTGTCTTCGACGATTATAGCTATTCATACCATGATTAATACGTTGCCATACATTATAATAACCATGCATTATCAATATGGTTGCATTCAATATATTCGAACGATTATTCAATGCTTCCCATATGCCTACAATAACCACACTTATTGATATGATAAATTCAATAAATTTTGTGAATGATCGTGCAAAATAAATGATTTCATCCAAATATTCCCATGATTCTGTACGACATGAATCCCACCAAAATAAACAATGTATAATGATTAGATCTAATACACGTGCCGATATCAAAAGACTAGTGGAGAAAACGACAGCAATCCAAAAATTGGCTGGAAATATTTTTGCATAAACATTTGTCACATACAATGGGAATATGAATAAAAAGGCACATAATAACAATACTTTTAGATGATGTATACGATTTATATTATGATTCATATTCAATGATAATATGACCGGTTCGGATATTTCCAATATTGATTGTAATAGACTTGATATCACTACAAACGATATGATTACCATGACGGCCATACGTGTATTTTCATTCATATCTGTGAATGCTGTTATTGTTGTCAATAACATTGTTGTCATACCTTCTTCCCAGCCATTATGATCACGATAAGCAGCTATTGGATGATGATGATGATGTTGTTGTTGATTATGATTTTGGTAATCAGTACCGCCACTTAAATATAATTTTATCGTATTCAATATGAAACATGAAATATATGCTACAGTAATCGATGTTGATAATAATGATACCGGACTAATGAATATGGAGCTAACACTATTTAATAATAATGGTATCCATTCAAGATGATCATTTTGATTGTCGTTGACTGTTGTAGCAAACATTTGTAGATAATAAATTTTTGTTAAAATTGTCAATGTCCAGAATAGAAAAAAATGAAATGGTACAAATATTTGTTCGAATGTTTGCCAATATAATGTATGGAAACCTTCATTTTTAGCCAAACGTATAATATCCATGGCCAATGTTTTCATATCGATCAGAAACAATGGTGTATGTTTGAAAAAATAATTAAGCAATGTAAAACTACCAATACCGTAGGACATTGTATCCAGTATCTACAATAATGAAAAAAATAAATTGAAAAAGAATGAATTGGACATTTATTCAAACATTACTTTTAGCCAACCCACACCACCAATGGTACGTTGGTCAGTGGCATAAATAATGGCCATGATGCCATATCCAACAAAACCTAATTAAGAAAAAAAACAAAAAAATCATCTCAAAAATCAATCAATACTGATTACATACCGATTTGATAAAGTTTTTTTGGCGCTTTAAATATAGACAATATGATTAAATCAAATACAAAATGAACAATGAATATCAAGATATTCCGAGCTTCATCATCATCAACAGCAATAATCGATGATGATGATGATGTAGCCACCAATTGTGGAACCAAATGATGATCAATAAAGAATAATGTTCGTGATAGATATACAAATGTTATCCAACAAATTAGATGAATATAATAACGTTTTAGATATGATAACGGTAACAATAATAAAAGGAAACCATTTAGTAAAGCTTGAAAAAAAAGAAATTCAAAAATTAATTTCAATAAAAATAAAAATTCCATTTTTTGTTTACCAACATACCGAAATGTGATAGCAAAAGATTCCAATCACGATGTCGTATTGACCAATTATAATTGAAATATTTAAAATAATTATCGATAAGAAATAGGCCAGGCATTCGTAATAAGGCTATCAATGCTTTTTCCATTCGTTTCATATCGATTTTTATTGTTGTTGTTGTTGTTGGCGATCGTGAATGATTCTTGAATGAATTCATTTTTTTGTTTGTTTGTTTGTTTTCATCAAAAAAAATTGCAAGCTTCGTCGTTTAAATTTTTTTTTGTTGATTAATTATTTTATTATATTTTTGATCATCAGACACACTCTCATATCATATCAAGATGATTATTTCGTTTGTATGTGTTTGTGTGTGTGTGTAGGGAAAAAAAATTTCCAATTGACAAACATACAACGATTGATTGATTTCCATGATCATTCATTAATTCAATTCAAAGTTATGATGATGATGATGATGACAAATAATTATGTAACTGGCTGTTTGAGTTTATTGATGATGTTATATGTGCAATTCATTAACAAGAAAAAAAATTTCACTGTGTTTTTTTGTTATATTTTTTTTTCACAATAAAATTCTTTAATTTAATTCGTTTCCAAAAACACTTTGTTGTTTGTTTGTAAAAAGAATATCGTCACAAGTATTTGTTTGACAAATACTTTGTTGTGTAATGTTTACAAAATAAATAAACAGCAAATAGACAGCGACAACAAATGATACATTAAAAAAAAATATCACCTTGATAATATATAGTGGTCGTTCTTTGATAAATAAGGCGATTTTTTTCTTTTTGTTTTTGGATTCAAATTATTTTTCACCAATCATTTGATTTGATTTGTTTTGTTTTTTTTTCTGGTAACCATGAAAATGAAAAACGAACACATAGATACAAAAAAAAATGATAAACAACAACAACAACAACAATAATAATTACCAGGTTTAGTAATGTCATCTTTTGATGAAAATTTGAAATTTTCAAAATATTTAACGTTTGTTATGAATAAACACAACAACGGAAACAGCAGCGCTGCTGCATGCTTGTTTGTGTTGTGTGTGTGTTTTTATATATTTGTGTGTGTGTGTGTATGCGAGAGAGAGAGAGAGTCAATTATACGAAAGCCACACGTTGAAGCACACCGCATTCAATTTCTTTCTTTTCCTTTTTGGTTTCGTTACTGTGTAGACACGTTTCCAAATAAACCACGTTTTAATTTAATTTCACGAAAAACAATGCCTGTAAGTAAAAATTTTTACAAATAATTTCATAAATTTTTTGGCTTCTATCTAGTGGTTTTTTTCTGTGATTGAATTGGGAAAAAAAATTTAAATTCGATTGGTAAAATTTGACCAGATATTTTGGTAAACACAGACACCAATGCAAAACCGCGAGGCCAACGACAAAATGGAAATTCTAAATGATTTCCATTTTTCTCTTTGATTGATTGATTGATGTGCCATATCGAGCATTTTATATACATTTTTAATTAAATATTGATGATTTGGAGCTGATTTTGGCTGTAGCTGAATTTTTCTGAATCTTCTAAGATTGTATATCTTTTTTTTTGTTTCAATATTTTTTCTATATTAATCTAATGATGAATTGTTTCCTTTATGATATGAAAATGAAATCTTTCAAACATTCAATTCGAATACAAATGATTGATTAATGTTTTTTTTCTAATTTGCCTATATAAAATAGCTTGCTAAAGATTTACTTCATCCCAGTGCCGATGAAGAACGTCGCCGTTGTAAACTTAAACGTTTGGTACAACATCCAAATAGCTATTTTATGGATGTCAAATGTCCAGGTAAGTGTTTTACTGCTATTGATCATGATGATTCATTATTTTAATTGAATTTTATCATTTTGTCCATCTATGACAATAATAATAATTTACTAGGATGTCTAAAGATAACCACATTGTTTAGCCATGCACAAACGGTTATTCCATGTAAAGGATGTTCAACAATACTTTGTACACCGACCGGTGGTAAAGCACGACTAAGGGATGGTTGTAGTTTTCGAAAAAAACAACATTAAACTAACATATATATATGTTTTTTTTGTAATGTTTGTGAAAAAAAAAAATTTTTTTTGAAAAAGAAACCTAAGAGAACATCAATCCCCACAACAAGATGCATGAATGTATATGATGGCCGTGATTGTAAGATGAATTGTAATTTTTTTTATTCTAATTCTAATTTTATTTATCAAACAATCCACAACCACCACATACATCATAACCATCATTTGATCTTATGATATTTTTATTTTTCACATTCATACTCATAAACATCTTTTGAACAAAAAAAAATGGAAAAAATAAATTTTGATTAAAAAAAATTTAAAAAAATTTGTATTATTTTTTTTTTGGTTCTCAGAATTTTTTTCCCAAAAATGAAATCTTGGTTTCAGTTTTGTTAACGTATCACTTGAGATTGTGTTTGAGTGTGCAATAACAAACATATATTTGTATGCATACCAACCACCAACACCACCACCACCACTATTCAAAGGAATTCGTTGAATTGAATTGTGAATTGTAATGATGAGAAAAAAGAGCCAGCCACGAATGAATGAATGAAAAAAAGTAAAAAAAAAATTTCTGGCCACACGGCTATACAATCTTCGTCGTCTGAATCATGCCAACTAAAACCAGTGTGTGTGTGTGTAGAATGATGAGCATACACACAATATAATAATTTACACAATTACGTGTGTGTGTTGGTTTTAGTTTTGTATGGTTGACCAAATTTTTTCACCTTTTTTTTGTTTGATGCTCAGCTTTCTTCAGATATATCGGGTGTATAATATTGTTGTTGTTATCGATGATAAACTATTGAAATTATTGAATGTAGGTGTGTCTGTCTCGGTCTATGTGATGTGTGTGTATGTGTGTATGTGGTTGATGATACCAAATCATATGAACTTTATGACTTGATTGTTGTTTTTGTTGTTGGTGATGATGTTGATGGTGGTTGGTCACATTGGTCAATATCCAAATTCATTTTGAATGACTAAAGTTCATTCGTTTTTGTGTTGCTTTGTTGGTGGTCTTTTTTCTTTCTCGCGTTTTTTTTGTTGTTGTTGTGTCCACACACACACACAATAATAATATTCTAAATATTCCTCGAATATTGAATTGTCGTTTGTTGATCAATTGAATTGAATGAATGAAAAAATGGCTGTACATACATCGGTTCCTGGATCAGGAACTACTACTACCACCGGATCAACATCATCATCAACATCATCTGGACAATTAAAACGTAAAGAAATCTATAAATATGTTGCACCATGGACAATATATGCGATGAGCTGGTCGGTACGACATGATAAACGTTTTCGTTTAGCAATCGGTTCTTATATTGAAGAATATAATAACAAAGTAGGTGTGATTTCACTTCATTTGAATTTTATTGAGTGATTGATTTATTGGTTTTCAAATTCATTCAGGTCCAAATCGTAACACTTGATGAAAGTTCATCCGAATTTATGGCCAAAACTACTTTTGATCATCCATATCCAACAACAAAAATAATGTGGATTCCAGATATGAAAGCAAATCTACCCGATCTATTGGCTACAAGTGGGGATTATCTTCGTATCTGGAGATTAAATCAGGATAATGAATCCACAATGGAATGTTTACTCAATAATGTATGTATTAATTCAATATCAATCGCTGATCATTAGCTATAAAATAATTTTTTCCCATAGAATAAAAATAGCGATTTTTGTGCACCACTTACATCCTTCGATTGGAATGAAGCTGATCCAAATCTAATTGGAACATCAAGTATCGATACTACATGTACGATTTGGGGTCTAGAAACCGGTCAAGCCATTGGTCGTACAAATGTTCTTTCCGGTCAGGTGAAAACACAATTAATTGCCCATGATAAAGAAGTATATGATATTGCATTCAGTGGTGCTGGTGGTGGACGTGATATATTTGCATCGGTTGGTGCGGATGGTTCGGTTCGTATGTTCGATCTTCGTCATCTTGAACATTCAACCATTATTTATGAAGATCCACAACATTTACCATTATTGCGATTAGCATGGAGTAAACAAAATTCCTATCTATTGGCTACATTTGCATTAGATTCTAACGAAGTAATCATTATCGATATACGTGCACCTTGTACACCGACAGCACGTTTGAAAAATCATCGTGGTTTTATCGATGGTATTTCATGGGCACCACATTCAGCCAGTCATATTTGTACTGCTGGTCAGTATTTTTTTTCTACTATTGTTTTAATTAATGTGTTTTCCATAACTAATTCAAATGAATTCCTTACAGGCGATGATCATCAAGCTTTGATATGGGATCTACAACAATTACCACGTACAATTGAAGATCCAATATTAGCCTATCAGGCTGATGGTGAAATCAATCAGATACAATGGTCATTAGCACAACCGGATTGGATTGCAATCTGTTATAATAATTGTCTCGAAATTCTTCGTGTATGAAAATAACGATAACAATAGCAAGAAAAAAAGACAGTTTTTTTGTAAATAGACGACCATACATGATATGATGATATGATGAAAATCCAAAAAAAAAATCAAAAATCCACTATATCGATTATTATCATTCTAAATTTATTTATTTACTTAATTACCCACATTTCATTCATCTAATAACCTGCAAAGTATATATATCGCTTATATAGCTAGTCTACTTCTACTATCTCATTCTACATATTCTTCAATTTCTCAAATTTTTGTTTTATTGGGATTAACACATTGTGGTTTCGGTGATTGTCACTCTTTTTCACTCAATCATTTTCCATTGTATCCGGTTATTAATTTTTTTTTTTTTTTTGATATAATAATCTTAATTTGCATGTTCATTAATTATATTGATGATCAGTTTTTTTACAACAAAAAAAAATCAATTTTTTTATTTTACAATCAATTATATCTAATAATATAATTATTATGAAAAAAAACATTAAAAATAATTTTAATTATAATTTAAAATAATACATCATAATGTATTATATGGTAATAATTCAGCCACTGTTGTATCTTCATAATGGCAAACAATGAGTACATCACGAAATTTATCAATCAATGTTATTATATGACTACGGCGAAGATTTTCATAATACATAATATCTTCAATATGATGATGTCCATCAAAATATGGTACTAATTTAGCAAATAAACGTATATCATCAATATTATCGGCTGCTGGTACGGCTAATACCTGTTGAATTTCATCATCATTTAATCTTATTGATTTTAATATTAATTCAGATGATTCTTTAAATGATGATTGATCAGTGATTGGAATGGTATCCGAAGGTATTGTGGAAGGATTAGAAACGATTAACGATGGTGGTGGTGGTGGAGGCAGTGGTTGTTGATTCGAATTTAAATGTTGATCATTCATCATAGATGATGGTGATGTTTCATTTAATTCTTTTATAATAGCCATTCGCATTGTTGTTGCTGTCATCATCATATTGGATGATGAAATTGGACTAGCAGCTATTGATGGTGGTGAACATGTATCACTTGTCGGACAGGAACTACTATTTGTTATCGATATTTGATCGGATAATAGGATCGGTTCCGTTTGCTGTTGTTCGTTATTATGGATTAATCGATTATTATGATTATCTTTATTAATCATCATCGACGACGACGAAGTGTTGATGGTCACCGATGATGATGATGACGATGATGATGGTGATTCATTCGATAATGGAAGGAATAAAACATACATATGTAATTGAAGTAATAGCCGTTTACGTAACATCCATACGATCATACGCACGAATTTACATTCCTGATCGGCACTATTCATTGGATTTTTAAATTGACTAAGCGATACGCCCAACGAAAATTTCGACATAATTCGCAATAATGATTCACAGGGAAATTGTTGCTGAAATTCAGCGATGAAACGAGAATCGATAGCTGTCGAAGCCGATGGATGAAGCATATAATGGTTTGATTCACATAATGGAAATATTATGGTCGCTTTACCCCAATATACAAGTTCGGCAACAATATTGAACACTTGTGATAATGTAATATCGGCATCGGCCGATAATTCCAATAGATTTTTCAATGGATTTGATACCCGAATTAAACGAACGAATGATGGTGATACATCTTGCGGTAACGATTGTAGCAGACAATCCATTTCAATTAACAATAAGAATGTATGATATGGACGTAGTTTTTTCAAACATAACTGTATGTTAGCAGGTGTAATCGGTGGTGCTAATGGTGATTCCATTAATCGCCGATGTACTTTTTGTGGAAGACAAAAATTTAGATTAATCCATTGATTCATTTTTAACTGTACGATTCCTTCGTTACATAATTGTAAAAATATTTCCTTTAATTCATTGGCTAATTGACATTTATCCAATATTAATTTATATGGTGAAAGTTGTGCTGTTGTTGACGATGATTGTTTAGCATTTTCACCACTTGGATGATGATGATCGCCGGCCATCGATGGTACACTAATCTCATCATGACATGATATCATTATCTTACTTTGTTTGGTAAAATATTTACATCGTTTCTCTTCCGATCGTAATGAAATGGCAATATGTTGACTTAATTCATGATATGATTTAACAATATCATGTTGAGCATCAGCTTTCAATGCAAATACAATATGAAAACAATGTTTATCCACAAGCATTGGATGGCCAACAAAACGAACATTATCTACTTTAAGTTCAAATTTTTGATCACATAATTTACGTTTGACAGCGCCAAATAGATTGGAAAATGCTGAATCTGTAAGACCGATAACTTTGGTTATCTCCACTTTATCATTATTATCAATTGAAATGGATGAACTTGTCAATTCAGTATATGCGGGTAATAGTGAACTTTGTTGTTGTGTTGTTGTTGAATCATTCAGAATATTCGTCGTACGATTATTTAGATTGGTTATATTATTATTATCCTGTGGTATAATCAATGCATATTGATTTTGATTATATTGTATGGATGGAATCGGTTCATCAATCATCACATACGGGAAACGAAACAATAATTTCTCTTCGGTACTATCGGATTTAACAAGAAATACACCCAATGGTGTTGTCTCATCCGATACGTTTAATCGTGATAAATCATCCACTGAATTTATCATCATTATTTTATCATTATATAATTGTCATCAGAAAAAAAACAAATAGGTTTAACAATTGTCAACAACAACCAGTAGCAGTAAATCAATAAATTCTTTTGGCTCTGGAATAAAAAAAAAATTTAATAATTTGTTTTGATCATTCAAAACAACAACAACAACAACAATGACGACATCAACAAAATTTAATTAATCTTCAGCTTTTTTTTGTTGTTTTGCTACATACCATGAGAGTTATGGGTTATGTGAATGTACCAAATCGTAAATGTTTTTTTTTGAAATTTGAATTTCGAACACATCAAATGAAATCACACACACAAAACACAAGACATCCAATCAACAAGAATCCATTTATCGAGTCCGTAGAATCGTTTCGAACTATGCAATTAAATTTGTCATCAAATAATAATTATTATAGTGAATCATTGTTGATGATTATGATGATGATGAAAAATGTTTAATTAACGATTGTTGAATTATTTTGATGAATGCTTAGGAATTTTCGTTTGGTATGGTTGATTGCAATTTTTTTCCCTTTCGTTTCGTCACTTTTTAATAATATTTTTCAACCCGAAAGAAGAATACGTGAGAATAACTCATTTTCAAAACAGTTCAACCATGGTAAATATATTCATCATCATCTTCATGGCCTTGATGCGACAATGGAAAAATAATCGAATCAAGAAGAAAGACAAAGACAAAACAAGTTTAAAAACTGATAATTCCATCATAATTGATAAAGGCTATAAATTAACCATGCAAAATGATTCAAGCGTTTCATTTTAGATTTTAAAAATCAATCGAATTGAAAATGTCGCCAATTAATCCGACTATTACATTGTGGTTATCATTGTTTGCGATCATTTTGTTGGCCATTCTACATACGGGTAAGATGTATTTCCGAAAAAACCTAACATGAATGAACTAATGTTTTTGTTGTTGTTGCTGGGAATCCGAAAAAGGAAATGGAGCACCAAGAACAGTTCGGGATGATGGTGGTGCATTCGAAACTGTCGATACAGATAGTTTCAGAGATGATCAACATCCAACACGAAGTATGATTCATACGATAATCGATATGATTAAGAGAATGTTTGGATGTAAGTACTTGAAGAAAATTTTTATTTTATTTTATTTTGAATTCGGGTTCTTATTATTTTCTCATTTCTAATAGTTGATGAGCGAACTGCAATCGTACGTGAAGATGGTACTGTTGAATATGTTGATAATGGTGGTCAAGGAAATTCCTTTCTATCACGTATTGGTCGTCGTGTTATGTCATTCATTAATATGTTATTAAATATGTTTATGGGTGATAGTTCAATACCGCCATTCGATTTTAATACTGCACGTACAACGATTCTAAATGAATTAGATAAAGATGGTATTCATTTGAATAATGGTTAACCCAGAAAACAAAAACAACGAAATCAACATTCATCGAAAAATCCAGATAGCCGATATTCGATTGATTTTTTCTTTCATTCATATTTTGTAATAATTAATTAGTTTTACAAAGACCAAAATACCAATTCAATTGAAAATAGAAAGAAAGAAACGAAGAACTTTATTTATTATTCTATATTCAATTTGTTTATCAACATCATCTAAATTAATTATCATTATCATTATTGTTGTTGTCGTTGCCGTTTGATCACCTCTTTTTGTACGGCTTGTACACATTTGGCCATTGTAGATGATGAACGTGAAATAATATCTGTTTGATAATAATCGGCCAATTCTTTCATCATGGGCGTCAATTTTTTATTTGATAATATTTTCATTGTTTCGGATTTAATTGTCGATCGTGTTGATAATGATGGTGGTTGAATCGCAATGGGTTGAATATTTTTATTGAAATCCGTAAGGCTTGGTACTAATTGTGACATACGTTGACGAATGCCCGAAAGATTTTCATATGGTAATGTTCGATTTGATATTTCCGATACGGCACGAACAATATACCAATCATTTCTAGCCATTAATGGTGGTGTTATTGCGGCCAATGTTTGTTGTGCACGTCCTTCCATATTAACATAGACGCCTTGTTTTTCAGTATAAGCAGCACCCGGTAAAACTAAATCTGCTTGATTTGCACCAATGTCACCATTATGCCCCTTTATTATGATGAAAGGAAATGATCAAATAAATACAAAAATAGCAAAATAGTCAATCAATTACCTGATAAACGACAAAACAATTTTTCGGTATTTGAAGACCGGCATCATCTACGCCAAACAACCACATGACCGTTGGCCGATTATTATCTTCTAAATTCATTTCGAAACTTGGTTTAAAACCTAAATCGAATGCAGCAACTTGTGATGCGTTTGCATGAAGTATGTTAAAATCGGCATTAAATTTTTCACTAATAGATTTTACAGCCGAATAGATTGAATCATTTGAATTTTCGGATTTTAAAATCTGTTGTCCCAGAATGATGACTGGTTTTTTGGCCGCTTTCAATTTTTTCACAACAGGGTGTGTTTCCGAATAAATTTGATTCAATGTATTCAGATCATCACCAAGCCATGTATAATCATAGGATAGATCAAGATTTTTCGGTCCAACAAATGCAATATCAATCAATGTACTTTGTCGCCATGCTTTTCGAATCCGATGATTAACCAATGGAGCTTCATAGCGTACATTCGAACCAATGATTAATAGGAAATCGGCATCTTCTAATGCGGCTATGCCCGTATTGAACAGGTAATTTGAACGGAAATTCAAATCCGATGATTTTGGGAAAATTGTCGTATCAAATTTTGAATCAACGTGTACATATAGATTATCAGAATCTAAAGAAATTAAAACATTTGGATTAATTAAAATAAATAGAAAGTGATGATCATTAAATTGTAGTACCCATGCTGTTGAAGAAATCTTTAACAGCCACCATTGTTTCGGCATCGGTATGTGGACCAACAATGGCAACTAGCCTTTGTGCATCACAATGATCGATTGCTTGTGATAATGAAATCAATGCATCTTCCCAATCACATTCCTGTAGATGTGAATTAGATGATGGCCGTAACATTGGTGTTGTTAGGCGTTGTGTTTTCAATCCATCGATCGGTGCATGACGTGATTTATCCGCTAACCATTCTTCATTGATATCTTCATGTAAACGAGGAATAATACGCAAGAGATCACCTGATCTTTGACAAACACTAATGTTCGAACCGACAGCATCGAAAATATCGATTGAATCATAACGTCGTAATTCCCAAGGACGTCCTAAATATAGATGAAAATTTCAATTTCATGATAAACATTTTTTTATTGATATTAAATAAAACACTCACCAGTAAATGTATATGGTTTCGATGTTAACGCACCAACCGGACAAATATCGACAATATTACCGGATAATTCACTGAGCATAGTAACATTTTCTAAATAGGTACCAATTTGCATATCAGTACCACGACCAGTTGTGCCCAAATCTGGACAGCCACCAATTTCATTCATAAATCGTACACAGCGTGTACATTGAATACATCGTGTCATAATCGTACGCACTAATGGGCCAATATTTTTATCTTCAACCGCACGTTTCTCATCCAAATCGATACGTAATCGTGATCGATCTGATCCATATGCCATTGATTGATCTTGAAGATCACATTCACCACCTTGATCACAAATCGGACAATCCAATGGATGATTCAAAAGTATAAATTCCATAACACTTTCACGAGCTTTTTTAGAAAATTCAGAATTCGGTTTAATTTTCATACCTGCAAATAAAAAAAAATGAAATGAATAAATCAAGGATTTGTATTCATGAAAAAAATTCTATAATTTTTAAGAAAAAATAAATTTACCAGGCATTACAGGCATAGCACATGATGCTACAGGTTTAAGACTTTTTTCCACTTCAACCAAACACATTCGACAATTTCCGGCAATCGATAAACGTTCATGATAACAAAATCTCGGTATTTCAATACCAACACGAGCACAAGCTTCTAGAACGGTAGTACCCGGTTCAACTTTAACCGATTGATCATCAATAAAAACTTCAACCAAATCGGATAATGTTCGTGTTTGTGATTGATTAATAATGGCTGTACCTGATGATGATTTAATAGCCTTTCGAAGATGATTTACGATAATAGAGTTCTGATTATTTCGAATTAATTTAAACATTATTTCGATTTTCTGATCAATGTTGTTGTTGCCGATGAAGAAGATGAAACAAAGAGAAAAAACTAAAAAAATCAAAACAATTCTCAATTCATTCAGGTGACCTCTTGTTATGTATGTATTATATGAATAGTATCGTCATGCCAAAAGAATTTACACGTCGGTTTTTCAGTCTGATTGTTTCCACCGCTTTTTAATTGTTTAATATTTTTTTTTTATTTTAAAAAATTCATTGTAAAAAAATTGTTATGAAAATGATACTACCAATTTCATTGTTTCTCCTATGTTTTGTTCGATTATCTGTGGCCAATGGTTCAGTGTTAGTATTGTTGGATCATTTATCCATAAAAGAAACACATTCCATTTTCTTTAAATCATTACAAGGTATTCTATTGATTTTGATTTTTTTTTCTTGATGATCAATTTGTTCTTATTGAAAATTATATATTAATTAGATAGAGGATTTGATCTTACATTTCGTTTGGCCGATGATGCTACATTATCGTTAACTAAATATGGTACACCATTATATCAGCATCTGATTCTGTTTTCACCATCAGCCGAAGGTATATGTGAATTTATTTATTTTCGCTTATTTTGTTTTGATCGGAATTTTCCCCAATAAAAACAATAGAATTTGGTGGCAATATCAATACACAAGCAATTACCGAATTTATTGATAATGGTGGTAATTTATTAGTAGCTGCCAATGAAAATGTTGGCGATGCTATACGTGAATTGGCCGTTGAATGTGGTTTAGAAATCGATGAAGAAGGTGCACAAGTAATCGATCATTTTAATTATGATGCTACCGATGATGATATGCATACGCTTATCGTTGTCGGCACTGAAGATTTAATCGATGCACCAACTATTGTCGGTGACCGATCCCGTATTAATCCGATTTTGTTCCGTGGCATTGGTATGATTTCCGATCCGAAAAATACATTGGTTTTAGATGTCCTTAAAGGAACATCAACATGTTATTCGCATAACCCATTAAAAGAAATAACTGAGGTAAGAAATTTGTTATTTGAAATTGTTATTCAAATTATAAATAATGCATTTTAATTATACAAAAACAGTATCCACATGTTGTTGGCAAAAATACCATTCTTATATCGGCATTACAAGCACGAAACAATGCACGTGTCGTTTTTGTCGGTTCACTTGATTTTTTCAGTGATAATTTCTTTCAATCACCGATTAAAATCGCTGGTTCACCGAATGTTCGACAATATGATAAATCTGGCAATGAACAATTGGCACTTTCCTTATCAGGTTGGGTATTCAAAGAACAAGGTGTCCTACGTGTCAGTTCGGTTAAACATTTTAAAACCGGTACCAATGAAAATGATTCCTATACAATTATGGATGATGTTGAATATTGGGCTATGATTGAAATATTCGATAAAAATGGTAAATGGATACCATTCGATGCCAATGATATACAAATGGAATTTGTTCGTATCGATCCATTTATACGGCAAACATTGCGAAAAGAAAATAATGAATATGTTGCTCGATTTCGTATACCAGATGTTTATGGTGTTTATAAATTTATTGTCGATTATAAACGTGTTGGCTATACAAATCTTTATTCATCAACACAGGTTTCTGTACGTCCATTACAGCATACACAATATGAACGTTTCATTATATCAGCATATCCATATTATTTTAGCGCCTTTTCAATGATGTTCAGTGTTTTTCTATTTAGTTTTGTATTTCTTTATTTCCGTGAACCAACAATGAAAACTAAGTCAGATTAGTCGATGATTCGACGACAAAAACAACAGATTGAACACAAACACACACACACAAATACAGGCCTGATATTTGTAAATTTCCTTTTTCTCTTCACTTTTTTATAATTAATCTTATAATCTCAATAAAAAAAATCTTTGAAAAACAAAATTTTTACACATGTATCAGTTTTCCATTTTTTTCTTATACAAATAAATTGGCCTTTGAAAACCTATGGGGAATATCAACGGAATTATTAGAATTTTTTTTTCATAATCATGATTATTACCTTTTTGATTATGTGCAGGCGTGCCCAATAATTCACAGCTTTTAAAGCCAACATCTTTGAGTAGAAATTCATGAAAATGTTCCGGTTTAAAACGAATCGAACGAAAATTTTCCCGTAATTTTGCCTAAATAATAATGGATTCAAAATTCATTAGGAGTTAATTTCAAATTTCCAAAATTAAAAAAAAATTGACTTACACTCATTTTAGCTTTCTTATACGAAGACCATGGTTGTGGTTCAAGTATGAGTGAACCACCGGGACGTAATTGTAGAAACATTCGACGAAATGCACGTTTAAGAGCAGCATCACCCCAATTTAGATGAATCCATTTTGTAACACTCAAACATAGGATACAATCATATTCAGGTTTTTGATATTCAAGTTTATCATCCGATGTTGGAACATAATTAACTTGAACAAAATTTACATTATTTGGAAAATCATTAACAGTTTCATCATCCACGTTTGGTAATGAATCAAATTTTTCCTTTTCTATAATTTTTTTCGTAACAATTTGTCGAACATTTTTTTTGGCTACCTTTATCAATGATTGATCAATATCGATACCGATAATTTTGTTCGGATGAAAATTCTGTGCTATCTTCATGGTAACTTGACCAACATTGCAACCAATATCGAGAACATCTTTATCCGTGAACCATTCCGGACGAAATAATCCAATTCGAGGATCTTCGTCATTTTCCATTGTTCGATATCCATAATAACGATTATAATTTCCATATTGAAAACGTTCTTTTTGTTTCTGTTGTTTCGTATTCGATTTTATAGAATCCGGATGTTGTTGTTGTGGTTGTTGATGTGAATGATTTAATGGTTGTTTTGATCGATCTGATCGAAAATTTGTATCACAAATATTATTCGTATATCTTTTATGGTGATTATTATTATTATTATTATGTGTACAACAATCTTTCGATGAACATCGTTGTAATAATGGTGGTTTTCGAATCGTTTTCGATGTTGTCGTTGTTGATGATGATTGAATTAATGAAGATGATGACTGTATATTATGATAACAATGATGATTAAGACAGGAATCATCTTTAATCATAGCTGATGATGTTTTTGATGTTGAAGGTAACGACATTTGGCGATGAATTTCACTTTCGGATGATGTTCGTTGTCTTTTATTACAATGAGGATTATGATTGTGATTAATGATGATGCCACCACCACTTGTACTTTTATTCGTTATGGAATCGGCCGATATTAGATCTGATTCTTTCGGACAATCCGAATGTGTTAGATTCAACGGATCTTGTAGATTTGATGGTATCAAAACATTGACCATTTCTTTAGAATTATCTGGTGAACGATCTATTTTGTTAGTATTGTCGTGGTTGTTTCCAGAAATGTTAGATTGATCATCATTCGTTTTATTACTTTTTAAATTTAATGGATCCTGAAAATTTACACCACCCATTAATAGATGTGAAGCAGGTACCATGGTCATGTTTGAAGTATTTCGTCGTTTTTTACCACAATAATTTAAACACGATTCATGAAATTCCATCGGTAATGAAACAAAACGACGTTTACGATATGAATTATGATTGCTTCTTGATTGATAATTGTTGGCTTAGATAACAAAAAAAATTGACAATCATTTTTTTGAAATATTTCAAAAATTTTGGAATATACAATTTACCTCGATTCAATTCATTGCTTCTCGGTTGATTTGACATGATTTATTTTGAATTTTTTTTTTTTTTTGAAAATGGCAAATACACACAAAAATCCAACAGATGAGATCAGTATACAAAAACAAGAAAAAAATGATGATGGTGATTGAATTTAAATTTATAAAATTTCATCATCAAATTGATTTAATGAATCATTTTTCTGTGTTTACAATTTAGTCACAAATTCAACAGAAAAAAAATAATGCATGCATGCATGACAAAACAAACGATAACGATTTCAAACAAAAATGGTTTACAGTCTGAATAGGCGATAATTGATACATTCGGATACACAATGATACACAATATGTCATTGAGACTAACACCCCAAATGATATAGGATTTTCATTTCGAATGAAAAACAACAGCCAATAGATGGCGTAATTGACGAATTTATGAAATTTTAATTAATTTTAATTTTTTTTTCTCAAATCAATTCAATAAAATAGATTTTTGTTAAAATAAAAAATTTTAAATTGAAATTAACGATTAAAACACACATGCATGATTAATTATAATATAATAATTTGAACCATCACCATGTTTTGTTTTTGTTTTTAGTGTTCAATGCTCATTATTGATTGATCACTCAAGCATTATATGTTGATGATGAAACATTACCACCTTTACCAGTCCAATTAGTATGGATAAATGTACCAGGATTATCGATCAATTGATAGGTATGAGCACCAAAATAATCACGTTGAGCTTGAATCAAATTAGCCGGCAATTGTGATGACCGATAACCATCATAAAAAGCAAGAGCAGTTGAAAATGCCGGTGTCGGTATACCAATCTTTACAGCTGTAGCAATAACATTACGCCAAGAATCCTGACATTTACCAATTTCTTCGCGGAAAAAATCATCCATCATAAGATTCTGTAGTTCGGCATTATTATCGAACGCTTTTTTAATGTTGCCCAAAAATACCGAACGAATAATGCAACCACCACGCCACATCAATGCAATACCACCATAATTTAGATTCCAATTGAATTTGACTGCAGCTTCACGTAACAACATGAAACCTTGAGCATAGGATACAATTTTCGATGCATACAATGCCTGGATAAAAATGATCAAATTTACTGAAAAACAAAACAAGATGTCTGTTTTTATCATACCTTACGAATATCCTCAATGAATGCCGTTTTATCACCATTAAATTCTGTTGTTGATGGCCCGGAAAGTTGTTGGCTTGCAGCCATACGTTCATCTTTCAGCGATGATAAACAACGTGCAAACACTGATTCACCAATCAATGTAACCGGTACACCAAAATCCAACGCCGATATGGCCGTCCACTTACCGGTTCCTTTCTGATGATTCATTGCAACCACGATTAGTAAGAACTGTGTGTTGTAAAATAACCTTACCTGTCCAGCTGAATCCAAAATTTTTTCCACCAATGGCTGTCCATCCGTATCCTTATATCGCATTATGTCACGGGTGATTTCGATCAAAAATGAATTCAATTCACCTTTATTCCATTCATCAAAAATATCGCCCATCTCATCATGCGATAAACCGAGAACATTTTTCATCAAATGATATGCTTCACAAATTATTTGCATATCACCATATTCAATACCATTATGAACCATTTTGACAAAATGTCCGGCACCATTATCACCGACCCAATCACAACATGGTTCATCATCCGCTTTAGCCGATATACTTTGGAAAATTGTTTTAATATGTGGCCATGCTTCAACGTGACCACCGGGCATCAATGATGGTCCATATCGTGCACCTTCTTCACCGCCACTTACACCCGAACCAACGAACAATAAATCTTTTGATCGAAGATATTCACAACGACGTTGTGTATCCGTATATTCGGAATTACCACCATCAATTATGATATCACCTGGCTCCAATAATGGTATCAATTGTTCGATGAATGAATCAACAGCTGATCCAGCCTTGACAAGAAGAATTATTTTTCGGGGTTTTTGTAATTTCAACACCATTTCCTCAAGGCTATGTGCACCGACAATACTTTTTCCTTTTGCTTCATTAGCAAGAAAATCATCGACCTTCGATGTGGTACGATTGAATGCACAAACCTATCAATCAATTGATTGATAAAAAAAACAGAAAAAATTAACAATTGTGAAATTTAAAACAAACAAAATAAAACAAAACAAAACAAAACAAAAATTGGACAAACCGTAAATCCATGATCGGCCATATTAAGAATAAGATTCTGTCCCATGACAGCCAAACCAATCAATGCAATATCGGCACTTAATTGAATTGAAAAATGAATAACGGTAAAATCAAAAAAAAAAAATAATAATAACTTACGTTCCTTCACAAGCCATTATTATTCAATACTTCTGGTAAATTAATTTACTTCAAATAGAATTGATGTGTACAGTAAATTTAAAAGAAAAAATCTTTAAAATAACTTTATAGCGTCAAATTGATCAGGATAGGAAAAAAAATCAAACGTCACACAACAACTCGAGTCGAGCTAACAATTGACAGTGACTCTTATTATCAGAAAATATTGTTGAAGTGTGTCTGTGTGTCACATATACTTCTTCTTATCATCATCATCATCGTTTTCGTCGTTGTTGCTGACATTGAGAAATTATTAATTGAATAATAAGCGACAACAACAAGAAAAAAAATGCCGTTCGTCGATTTAACGATCAAAGTTTACCATTGTCGAAAACGAAGAGAGAAGAAAGAAAAAAAATTTGTTGATTTTGTTTGTTTGTTAGTTCGGTTGGTTGGTTGCTAGTGGCAATCCGTTTTTATAGATTATATTTCATTTTTTCTTGATTCATAATATGATGATATAATGAACCTTACCACAAAAAGGCGTATCATTTCTCGATGACAATGAAGATGATTTTCTTTGAAATTTATTTTTTACCTTTACGAAACTCTAATTCGATAATGATGATCAGGATGAAAATCCAGTTTGATGGTTCTTTTTTTTTGTTGAATATATAGTACAGCTGTAATTTAAAGTTTGAAAAAAAAAATTTATAGTCGTTGTTGTCGGTAACCATGTATGTGTATGATGATGACATTTTTTAAAGTTTATTGTTTTTTCAAAGATTCAGATTCAAAATTTATGCAAGTTTTTTTTTCGTTCTGTTCGTTGTCATGAATATTCTATTTATCATTTATTTTTTGTTTATTATAATAGACATTAGTAACGATCGATCGCAATTTCATGCAAGAATTTATTCAAAAGATTCATAAGAAAAATTCATTTTGTTATAACAACGAAAAAAAAAATATTTGATCAAATTCAGATAAGATCAATATATTTATACAATTTATGGAACAAAAAAAATGATGATGATGATGATGATGATGATAAATTACAGATGGATGAATATGATACTGCTAATAATATATTATAAATATATATTTGTTAACATTTATACACAAGAATTCATTCATGTTTTTTTAGATGATTTTCAATTTCTTGATTGATCATTTGTATGTTGTTGATGGTCAGATTGATGATGATTATATTGATTATTAAATCGTAAATCACTATCATTATGTGATTCATTTCCGTATGATGATGATGATGATGGATTTACATGGTAAGTTTGTTGTTGTGGAGGTGGCATCGGTTGCGTCTGCTGCTGTTGTTGAAAATTTTGATAACAATTTTGCTGTTGTTGTGAATTATTATAATATGGCTGCTGTTGTTGTTGTTGTTGATGATGATGGTGACCATATACTTCCGGATTTGTTGAAAACGGCTGCTGTTGTTGTTGATCATGACCATTAAAATATGATGGTGGTGGTGGCTGTTGTTGACCATATTGTTTGTTCGATTGTTGTTGCTGTTGATACATTGTATCCGGATGATTACCGGGCGGATATAGATTATTATTATTATTATTATTGTAGCCATCAAATTGAGTTTGTTGCTGTTGCTGACCATATTGATCATGATGTTGTTGATGATGATGATTATTATTAAAATGATTATATGTGTTTGTCATTGGTGCCATATTATTTTCATTAGAATTATTCTGCAGTTGTTGTTGGTGTTGGTGCTGCTGTTGTTGATTAGGGTGATGATGATTATTACGATGTAAATTGGAATTATTATTTTTCATATTTTCCATATTATTCCATTGTTGTTGGAATTTTTTCGGTATCGGTTTTGAATATGGTTGTTTACGTTCCTTTGTTCGTTGATGATTATGATGATGACTTTTATTTGATTTTTGTTGATTATTACTAGTGATATTATCATTTCCTGTTCCACTAGTAGTTGGTTGTTGATGAGATGATGATAATGCTGATTCATTTGATGGAATAGTTGCCGTTGCTGTAGCTGTAGTGGCCATTTCCAATTCATCGGATCGTTCGAAACCAAAACCAGGTATTATAGGACCAATTTCTTCTTCATCATTTTTACAACCACCAATATCATTAAAACCCATACCCGGAATGTATGAGGAAAGATCATCACCATCTTCACATTCTTCAACACCTTTAGGTAATAGATTAAGATTATATCGATCACGCATTTTATCGCCTGGACGATTTCTAGTCCAAAATTTACTGTAATGATTAAACAAAGAAAAAAAAACAAATTAAGAATTTGGAATTCATACAATGCAATACTATTGCATACCATGTATGATCATTAGATCCAGAAGTTAGAATATGACCTAATGGATGCCAACTTAATGACCATACGATTGATTCATGTGCATTTTCCATGCAACCAATTTCTTTATCGGTTCTGGAATCAAATGGGGAAAAAAATTATCAGATATGAATGGACAAAAATGGTATAAAGAAGGTTACAACACAAATTACCCAACAAGCCAGAATAATATAGAACCATCCGAACCACCGCTAGCGAATAGACCTTCATGTATTGGATGCCATGCTAGACAGCTAACCTCTTTTTTATGGCCACGAAATGTTTGCATTTCATTTGTCATATTTCGAATATCATAGATTTTAATAAGATGATCACGTGATGATGTTAAAAGCCAATTACCATTATGATTCCATTTTACATCGGTTACTGTATTTTTATGTGCATGTCTATCATATAAAGGGAAAACGAATGGATTGTTTAAAATTTATTTTAATAAAATAACATTCATGAAAGAATAGATTTAGATAATTACAATGTAGCTAAACTTTGTCCACTTTTTGGATCCCATAATTTTACTGGCTGTTGGCTATCTTTACTACCAGATGCAATCAATGCTTTGGTTGGATGCCAATCGACACCTTTAACATCGGCACCATGACCACGTAGGATTCTTTCTTCGAAACAACGAAAAAAATCCCATATTCGTATGGTTCCATCATCGGAACATGTAGCGAATTTTGTATCAGTTGGACAAAAACTATTCAAAAAACAACAGTTAATTAGAAAAAGTTAGTTTTTTTAATGTTTCCTTAAAACCACTGAACTTACCTAATGGCTCTAACAGGTTCCTTATGTGCTTGAAACATTTTCACATTATTCATATTACTTTGCCAATATTTAACATAGCCATTTTGATCGCCAGTGACCATCCAGGAATCATTTCTTGACCATACCATTACTTTGACGGTCGTATCATGAGCCTAGGATAGAGTATTTTTGAAAGAAATTTGTATTGTTAATAATAATCTAGTTTACCTGTAGAATAGTTTCGAAATTAAATGTTAGGCCATTCCAAAGGGTAAATTCACCACTGGATGATCCGGTTATTAGCCGACGACCTTCTGGTGTCCATAATACACAGAATATTGGGCAACGCATTTTGTTCGTTGATGTACGAACAAATTTTGTTGTTATACAATTGGCTGCATTATTTTGCATATACATTGGTGGAACAATCTATAATTATACATGATAATTATCATTATGTAAATGATGCAATCAATCAATCACAAATTTTTTTCATACCTCAGTATAATAAGCAACATCGGGTTGTATGGCACGATAATCACGTGGATCTCGTTGCCAAATACGTGATTCTAACATTTTTACAATCGAGGAATTATAATCAACTGTTTTACGTGCAACCGCTTTACGTAGACGTTTTCCATCAAATTCAGCATTTTGAAATGGTGATGGTACAGGTGGCCGTGGTTGAAACGTATAGAAACTTGTCTGTGGTTTAACAAATGATGTTGTTTTAGTATTTGTTATGTTGACAGGATTCGGATTACGGTATGTGTTGCTCATTATGATTGAATATATCACAAGAAAAATCGATGAAAGGAATCGTGAATAACTTAATTGAAATTATTAATAATAAAAATTAATTAAACACAAGCGTCATAATGAAATTATTAGAAAAAAAAACAAATGAAAACAAAACAGAATCAAATGAATCAAATGTGTGTGTGTGCGATATGTACAGCATCATCTGACATTCGATGTAATGTCCATAAATGACGTTACGCTCTGTGATTTGTGATATCATCATCATCACTCAGAATTTATGATTCTAACGTCAAAATGATAAAAGAACGCCCAACAAAAAAAAAACTTTTTTTGAAAATACATTGAGCCGATCGATAGATGGCGTTAGATGCCCCTTGTTTCTCCTGTTTGATGTATGGTGCTCTATCACTATTGTGTGTGTATGTGTGTGTGTGAGTGAGTGCTCATTTGCTGATGTTAATTTATTATTGATTGATGATCAATAGATGATTGTGGTTTTTTTTCTAATGAAGATGATTCTTTTTTTATATACATCATTCTAAATTGATTGAAAATTGAAAAAAAAATTTCATCCTTAAAATAAGACAAGATAACGAGATAACCATTCATTGCCATCAAACATATAATCATCACAATCAACTATCTATATCTTTATGACGCTTGTTTATTATTATATTTCAAAAATCTGAGTTTTTTTTCATATTTGATCATCATCGATTGATTGATTTTTGATTTATAAATCATCATTCAATAATAATTTTTTTAATTATTTCAATCAAATCTAATTGTTTATTGATCCATCGCCCGAGATCAACGGCCCGATAATATTCGAAAATCATTCAAAACGGTGTTCATTCGTTGCCATTTTTTTTGGAATTCCATTCCGGTTCGTGAAATTTTAGATTTTTTTTTCTATATAACCCATTTTTCCACAGGTAAGTTTATTTACTAATGATTGTATTTGTGTAACAGGTTATTAATCTGATTTGTTTTTTTTCAGGATTTTAACTCGGTGAATAAAATCAAATCAAAAATAAAAAAGCAGAAGAAAAATGCAGACAATTAAATGTGTTGTTGTTGGTGATGGTGCTGTTGGTAAAACATGTTTGCTCATCTCATATACAACAAATAAATTCCCTTCTGAATATGTGCCTACAGTAAGTAGAAAATAAAATTGAAGAATTTTTTTTTTGTCTAAATCAATTTTTTCGATTTTGTATCGAATTACGAATCCACCATATATATAATTTATTATAGGTTTTCGATAATTATGCCGTCACCGTTATGATTGGTGGTGAACCATATACATTAGGTTTATTCGATACGGCCGGTCAAGAAGATTATGATCGTTTACGTCCATTAAGCTATCCACAAACCGATGTATTTCTTGTCTGTTTTTCTGTTGTATCACCATCATCGTTTGAAAATGTTCGTGAAAAAGTATGTATATTAATAATCATTGATTGATTTCTTAATTGTATTTAATGATGAATGATTTTTCATTTAATAATAGTGGGTACCGGAGATAACACATCATTGCCAGAAAACACCATTTTTATTAGTTGGTACACAAATCGATCTACGTGATGAAGCATCAACAATAGAAAAATTATCGAAAAATAAACAGAAACCAATTACACCGGAAGCTGGTGAAAAATTGGCCAAAGAATTAAAAGCGGTTAAATATGTTGAATGTTCAGCATTGACACAGGTAAGAATTGAATAAGATTTGATCTTTTACCAAGATTAACATTTTTTTTTTTTTTTTTTTGGCCACTGAAACATTAGAGAGGATTAAAAAATGTATTTGATGAGGCAATTTTGGCCGCATTGGAACCACCACAACCAAAACGTAAACGAAAATGTACCATAATCTAAAAATTTCTTCTCCACTAGAGACAGAATTCAACAAAAAAAAATAAAAATAAAACAGGAATAAATGATTTATCAGAATTGAAAAATCAAATCAAAACAATGACAGCATTTTATCTATTTATCGTCGTTTTTTTCAGAAACAAAAAAAAAAGAAAAACAATCTCTTTTTGAAAATTTTCTCTCTTATTATCCACGTCGATTGAACAAATTTTTTTTTACTATAATAATTATATTTATAAAACAAAACAAAAAATCCGATTTTTTCGGTTATACACAGCAACAACAACAAACAACCAACAACAACAACAACAGCCAACAATCAACAAATCAAATCAGCGAAACTTTTTGTATAGCAATTTTTTTTTAATAAGAAAAACAAATTTTTTTCCTTTGATGGGCTGAATGGATTTTTTTTTCTAAAAAAAAATTTTTTTTTTTAATTCCAAAATTTTTCATTCTATATTTATCACAATTGTGTGTGTATGTGTGTGCGGGTGTGTATTTGTGAATTTTTTTTCCCATTTTATTTATCAATCAATTGATTGATTAATCATATTTTTTCTTCTAATTATTATTATAATGGATGAATTTTTTTTCTATGATGAAAAAAAAAGAAAAGAAAAAAAATTTTGATTTTTTAATTATTGAGTTTTTTCTTTGTTTTTTTTTTTTTTTTTGTTTTTTGCCAAAATCACCAGAACTGAATTATTTTGATTCGAAATTCAATTTGCTTTTTTGACCAAAAGATGGCCGTAACGGTTTCGTATAATGTTGATGAAAGATTGTATTTTTTATTGATTATAATCGTGTGTATTTGAGTGTGAGTTTTATCATTTTTTTTTAATAACTTCACACAGAGATACACTGTCGGAATGTGTGTGTGTGTGTTGTTTGTATAATTCAGCGCAACCAACCAACCAACCAACCAATTCAACAGTATAGTGAGCCAAAAGAATCTTTCCGAAATATTTAGCGATTTTTTTTATCCTTTCTCTCTTTTTCAACGATTTTTATTATTATACGATTTGTGTGTGTGATTTTTATGAAAAATAAAAAATCGTTGAAGAACACACTACAAAATATATTTTTAAATTAAAAATGTTCCACTAATCGATGATATCAGAGAGCAACAGAATGATAATGTGTATTCTTTTTTGTGAGCTTCATTTCATCGTCACCATTATCGATTGAAATAATCTATTGAAAACAGTGTATGCTGATTTTTTTTATTGTGAATCAATTTTGAATTAAATTTAAAGTTTGTCTAGTTATTTTTTTTTATCACAATAATTACTTGGAATGCCGATGACAATGCCGTTGATTAATTCAAGGTATGATTCGTTCTCTATTTCGAAATGTTCGATTCGAATGTATTTTATTTTTTTTTTGTCATTTTCAATTTATTTTCTCAGAGGCCGATGGTTTCATCCAAACATTGATCGTGTATCGGCGGAAAAAATGCTTGTCGATCGTGGTGTTGATGGTAGTTTTTTAGTACGTCCAAGTAGTTCACATCCAGGTGATTTTACCCTTTCTGTATTAAGTGATAGCGCCGTTACACATATTAAAATACAGAATACTGAAGATGATCTTTATGATCTATATGGTGGTGAAAAATTTGCCTCATTAGTTGAATTAGTACATCATTATATGCAAAATCCTGATCAAATACGTGAACGTAATAATCGTAATCGTATATTTAAATTAAAATATCCATTGATCTCGGAAGATCCAACATTTGAACGTTGGTTTCATGGTAACATATCACCACAAGAAGCTGAAAGACAGATACTTGAAAAGGGAAAAAATGGTAGTTTTCTTGTACGTACATCAAGAAAACCGGGTGATTATGTATTGGCCGTTCGAATTGATGATAAAGTATCACATGTAAAAATCTATTGTCAACAATCAAAATATGATTTTGGTGGTGGTGAAAAATTTGATTCATTAACCGATCTTATTGAATATTGTAAACGTAATCCAATAGTTGAAACATCCGGTACCGTAGTGAATTTACGTTCACCATTAAATGCAACAAAAATCACTGCATCAACAATTGAAAATCGTGTAAAAATTCTATCAAAAGAAGATGGTTGTGATCGTAAAGATCGTGAGAGGAAAACGGGATTCTGGGAAGAATTTGAAGTATGTTCTACATTGTAATTCGTTTAAATAATCGATTCCGAATTCTGATTGTTTATTTTTTTTTGTTTACATTTTAGTATTTACAACAACAAGCATGTAAACATCTTTATTCCCGGAAAGCCGGTGAACAATCGGAAAATCGAAATAAAAATCGATATAAAAATATATTACCATGTAATTATAATTGAGTGAAAAATTTTAATTATAATTTCTGTTTCACTATTCTGATTGATTGATTGATTTTTTTCTATCAATTAATTAATTTAGTCGATCGTACCCGAGTCACATTGAAAGATGTTTCAAATGATGATGGAAATGATCCCGCTTCCGACTATATTAACGCCAATTATATACAGGTTTGTATGAGTAGCAAATTTTTTTTCTGTTTGATCTAAATCTTATCATTCATTCATTCATTCAAAAAAAGGTGGAAGATGAATTAACAAATCAACCGAGTAAAAAAGTTTACATTGCAACACAGGGACCATTAGCGAATACGAAAAATGATTTCTGGTCAATGGTTTGGCATGAAAAATGTTATATTATTGTTATGACAACAAAAGAAATTGAACGTAGTAAACCAAAATGTGTACGATATTGGCCGGATAAAGATCAATCAATGCGATATGGAAAGATATCCGTTAAGACAATATCAGAAAAGACAATGTTACATCATACGTTACGTGAATTTCGTATCCATTATGATGATAATGAAAAGGATTCACGAATTGTTTATCATTATCATTTTATGGCATGGCCTGATCATGGTGTACCATCCGATCCTGGTTGTGTATTGAATTTTCTACATGAAGTTAATTGTAAACAAGAATCAATACCGGATTCTGGACCAATCATTGTACATTGTAGTGCCGGTATTGGTCGTACTGGAACATTTATTGTTATCGATATATTAATCGATCAGATTAATCATCATGGTTTGGATTGTGAGATCGATATACAACGCACTATACAGATAGTACGTACAAAACGTTCCGGTATGGTACAAACGATTGCCCAATATAAATTTGTTTATCTAGCCGTACAACATTATGTGAATACGCTGCAGCAAAGGATTCAGGCTGAACATGTAAGTGAACATATTTGTGTCATATTTTTGATTTCAATTTTTTTTTTACTTACAGAAAAGTTTACAAGCTGGTCGTGAATATACGAATATAAAATATACAAATGAAGTTGGCGATAAATTTACTAGTTATGGTATACCGGCTACGGCTGCAACTGCAGCATCAACCGTAATGAATAATAATAATAATAATAATGCTAATGCAATGATCATACCATTATCATCATCGACATCAACAACATCATCATCATCGAATTTATCAACAACAATTCAACAACAACAAAATAAAAGTTGTAGCAGTCAGATAGAATTACAACGTCCACCAATACCGCCTAGACTTAATCGTTTAACAAATGATTGTCCATATGGATCAAGTTCGACGAATGAAACTTGAGAGAAGAAAAATTGATTGAAAATTGGATGAAATTTATCATCATCATCATCGTTATTATTATTAATAATGTTTTGTGCTTATTTTGATTCTCCAAAAAAAATTGTTGCTTATTATGTTTTTTTTATTGAAAATTTATTCATCTAATTATATAAATATTTGAAATGGAAACCTTTTTATTGGGTCCAAAACACACGTTTATTCATTCAAAATGAAAACAAATAATTTGTCCATTGTCATCATCATCATCATCATCATAGGAATATATTATTATTATTATTATTCAAGCGACTAAAAACAAAAAAAACAGAAAAAAATTCTATTCATATCGTTCAAAATTTAAATTCAGTTTTTTTTTTGTTGTTTGTTTTTTTTCGAAAATTTAAGATTGAAATAAATAAAGCTGTGATAAACAATATATTGTTGTTTTTTTCCAAGTTTTCCAAGTATTTATGAATTCTTTTTTTTTGATTGGTTATGTAATATCATCAAATTCATATAAATTATGGAAATTCAATTCAATGAAAACAGAAATCATTGTGATCATTAATATTCAACAATTCAAAGGATTATTCCAACAGAATAAGCTCATTTCTTCACCAATAATAATGGGTTATAATGGGTTTGGCAGTTGATTTTTCTTATATAATGTACCAACAATGTATGAATTTATCATATGAATGAATCATTTTTATTTTACATCCGATTGGGCTCCACACTACACAACCACCCGAATATGAATGGATCAACATTTTGTTTGGAAAAAAATCAAAATGTGTTTGATGTATATAAGAGTGTGTGTGTGTGTGTGTCTCATTCAACCTGCATATATAACACCAGATCACAACAAAAAAAACAACAGACGCTATTTTTTTTCATTTTGACTATGGTACAGACGAACTTTTTTTTTCTCTTCTGGTGTTCCATCATCATCATCATCATCATCCGATATATTTGTCAAATTTTTTTTTTGGTCAGAAAAAAATAGAGTAGTAGTAATTATCAAAACTTGAAAATATTGAAAAAATAACAATGACGACGACGACGCCCAAACATTTATGTGCTTGCGCGACCCGCAATGAAAATCGTCCACAATCGAACGAACGATCCATTCCATACATTTAGTGAAGTAAATGTTATGTTACTGCTACCAAAATGTATAGATTGCCGGTAAATTTTCCATTTTTTTTTCTGATGAAAAAAAGTGCAGTGTTTCTCACAAAAAAAATGTTTCGATTCTATATAACATTTTTTTCTGCCCAACCATTGATGATGATGATGATCATCATTCCAAGTTTGTTTCTGGTTTTTTTTATCCTATTTGGTATTCTATATACACACATTACATTTTGGGTATTTATGGATGCAAGGAGACGCCCGTCTGCTGTCTGATGTGTTTTTTGCTTGAATTGATATAATTACCACTACCAATAAAATGATACCAGAAAGATTTTTTTTTTTTTTTTGGTCTGGACCAAAAACCATAACATCAATCCCATTCATGCAGTCCAATGGACTGCATCATCAACTATACTATTTTGTAATATATGTAAATACTCTGATCATATAACTACTGGAAGTGGTGGTGGTGGTACAGTTAAATGGATTGAGGAGGATGATTATCGATTTTTTTTCCTATTGTTCCCCACTTCCAATAAAAAAAAACTTCTATATAAAAAATAATAACCAGAAATAACTTGGATCTGTGAGTGTGCCATCAGAAGCTATATAGTGTTCAGAAAATTTTCAAAAAAAAAAAAAAAAAAAAAAAAAATACCGGATAGATAAAATTGTGGCAGTGGTATCAAATATAAAAAATAGATAACAGATTTCTTCTTCTTTCTCCTCATCCTCATCATCATTATCATCAACCACTATTTCTACTTCCTCTTCCTTCATTGATTAATGCTGCTACTACTATTTGATATTTTTTTGTTTTCTGGTTTTCTGGAATCCTTGCATCTTTTTTTTCTGATCACTCTCATTTTCATTGCTGATGTTTTGGTGTTGGTGTTGATGTTGCTACTGCTATCAACGCCGCCGCCACCACCACCACTACCCATTTATCATCAACCATCATATCGTTGTTTGATTCCATGATCAATTTAGGTATTTGTATTTTCTTTTTTTTTTGCCCCGAACCAGAAAAAAAGCACTGTTGATAATGACGATGATGTACGACCAGAATATAATAATAACATAAAACCCCTCAATTTTTTTTCTGCCTGGCAAAAGCCAAAAACAAGAATCGAATGAAGAGATGAAAAAAAATTGAGCAAAAAAAGCAAAAAAGTGGAACCTGAAGTCTGAAACTAAAAAAAAAAAAGAATCCTGAAAGAATCGAACGTCTGTCTGTCTGTCTCTCTCTCTCTCTCTCTCTCTGTATGTGTGTGTGTGTGTGTTTTGTATAATGTTTAATCTTGCTGGTTAATGTTGTGTTGTTGGATCTCTGAATCCTGTTCATCATCATCATCATCATTCTGAATTTAATATTCTTCAAAAAAAAAAATTTTTTCTTTTTTGTCGATTTAATAAATAAATAAATAAATTTTTTTCCACTTCTTATACACCATTCTTGTTTCAATTATCATCAGCCAAAAACATCGATGAAGACGACGACGACGACGACAACACATTTCAGTGATTAGCGATCATTTCGAACCTCATTCCACCACCACCACCACCACCATCATCATCATCATCATCATCATCATAATCATCATTTTTTTTTTGAATTCATTTTAGTTTTGTATGTAAAAATTTTTTGGCCTCATCGATTCGATTCGTTTGTGTGTGTGTTTGTGTATATGTATTTGATTTTGATGATTGAATTAACAGTCTGTGTAAGTGTGTGTGCTGCTTGTATTAATGTTAATATATCTGTTGATGATGATGATGAAGTGCATCAATAATAATTTTTTTTTAATCTGTCGACTTGTTAAAAAATTGTGACTGAAAATACATAGAAAAAAGAGACGACTAACTAACTAACTAACTAACTAACTGGCTGATTGTCGTGTGGTGTGATGTGTGTTTGGTCGGTTTATGTATTGTTTTTGTTTGTGGATATCCTGTGTTTGTGAGAGTCTATCTGTATCTGTCTTTTTTTTCTGGTATATATCGAATGTGCTCACCAATACACACACAAATATTGATGTGATATCATCATAAATGTGTGTGTGTGTGTTTGGAAATGTCTTCATTATCAATGATTATATGATGTTTTAGGGTAATTTGTTTGTTCAAATTCATCATTAATTTTGTGTATGAAAATCGATTTTCAATTCTTGTATGTGTAATTAACTTCAAATGAATTGAACAGAGAAAAAAAAACAAAAGGTATATTTTTCAATTCTGGATCATAATTTTATTTGATAAGATTCTTATTTAAGGCTATATAAATGAACATATTTGATATTTATTGTTGGTCATCATTGATTATCGAAAAATAAAAAAGAATTATTATTATTATTGATCTCACATAACCAACGAATCGCCAAATGTCATTTTGCATTAATCACATATACAATGGAAACTCTAATTACGATCCAGAAGAATGTTTGTAACTCGAATTTATTCGTAAGTCGAATTTTTAACTCAATTTAAATATAAGTAATAAACTTTAGCACATATGTGTGTTTAATATAAAATGTGGAAAAAAATTTTTAACCATAACAACAAAATAATAAACATCGATTGATCGACTGATCGAACGACAAATTCACCACGATGAAAAAAAAATTGTCATTCTCTCTCTTTCTTTGATCATCATCAATATTAACAAGTGAACAGAAAAAAAAGAACAAGAACTAAATTAATTGAAAAAGAAGAAGGAGAAAAAACATCGTAAAGAAGTAGCATCCAAAAAAAAAATTGCTCTAAGAATAAAATAAACACACACACACACAGAGAGAAAAAATGCAACTAATGAAATTGAAAGATTGAATCAACTTCGAATGAAATCTGAATCTACAAAGAAAAAAAATTGAATATATGTTATAGTAAATGATGATGATGATCATCATCATATGTGTGTGTGTGTGTGTTGTATAAATGTGAATGAATGAATGAATAACGTAATTGGATAGATGGATTGTTGGTATGTATGTATGTATGTTAAAGATGATATAAACGATAAAATATATCGTGTGTATAAAATAATGACAAACAAGCGGCTTAAACACAAGAGTGAAATGAAATTTTTTGTTTTTACTTTCATTTCACTTCTTTTTTTTTTTTTTTTTTTTGAAAAAAACGAGTCAATTGATTTTTTGATTTTTTTTTTCGTAAGATGATGATGATGATGAGCGAATGAGTGAGTGAATGAGTGTGTGTGTGTGTGTGTATGCAGAAGAAGCACGTAGCCACACAAAAAGCTATAGCTAACCGCGAAAGCTATGTATATAATGTGTATGTATGTATTAGAAAAGATTATTAGAAAAGTACTGTCGTTTTTTTGTGTATAAATTTTTGTGAAAAAAACGACAGTACTTTTATAATAACCTAGATAATATTTATGCTTTTGTTGCTCAGAGAAGTTTATGTGTGTGTGTGTGTGTGTGTTTTGTGCTCAATGATAATGATGAAAATAATGAGTGAGATGTGCAAAAATTAATTTTTCTAATAAAAAACCTAAACATCCATCTATTCATACAATAAAAAATTTTTTTGATTGATTGATTGATTGAATATTGAAACAATAACAATTAAAACAAAATCAAAAGAAAAAAAATCGAATGTAAAAAATTATGAAAATTTTTCATTTATTTGTTGTGCTGATGAGATTCTGTGATTGATCTAAAATTCGTTTTGCGTTTGTTTTTGTGTGTGTGTGTGTGTGTGTGTTTTGTTTATTAATTCCAACATTAATTCTCATCTTTTTCCATTAATAGAATTGACAAATCATCAAAGAAAAAATAATGGAATAGAATCTACATTTGATACAATATTCACCAACATAACAGGTAAGCTCTCTGTGTTAATTTGAATTATTATTTACCTTTTTTCACCGTATTCAAATTCAATATGAGTGGGTTGTGTGTGTGTGTGTTTTTGTGTTGTAGTATTTTATTTTTGGTCAATTTTTTTTGGTTAATTTAATAACCAGAAACCGTTTTGAATTTCAATATACTTGTGGTGAGAGAAGAAAAAACGATTCAGATGTTTTTAATTTTTCGGTTTTGTTTGTTTTTATTGACCAAATATTCAGTTTTTACATGGATTTTCCAAAAAAAAACCATGAATCAATATAATAATAGGTGTATACATAATATATCTGTTGTTACCGTTAACAAGCACCAGATGGAGAGCCGGTAAAAAATTCTTTTTAGCATCGAATGAAAAATGATGATTGAGAAATAGGGTCTCATTGGAATATAAAGATTGTATATATGAAAAAAAAGAATAATAAGAATATCTTATTTCTTTTTCTATAGGTAACTAATTATGGTAACAGTTTAAATTTCTCTTTTTTTATTCTTTTCAGAATAAATGACAATGAATCATTCATTCTCATTCAGTTAGTTTGTAAATGATGAATGAATATCTGAATGTGTGTGTGTTTGTGTGTGTATTTATATACATTCTGCTGATTCATCATATATATTCAATCGAAAGAAGAATTACACTATTGAATGATTATTATGATTAGCATCATTCAATTCAGCAAAAAAACAAAACAAAACGACAAAAAAAAATAAAGCAATTTGATCCAAAAGAAAAAAAATTTGTTAGTTTGCTTTTATTCTCTTTTAAAATTCTCTATTTTTTCTCAGGCCTCTGAGTTTTTTTTTACTGAATGAATCGAATGGTTGAACTCTTTTAAACCCGAAAATTAGAAGATGTTAATATTGTATATCTGTGTGTGTGTGTGTGTGATGAAATATAGAGAATATATGTGAAAAGTTGTGGTGTTTTAATGTGGGGCTTGGGTGAGAAAATGGAACCGTCTCATTTGTATGAGATTTTGGCTAGATGTGTGTTTTTTTTTAGATTTAGTGTTAAATGATGTTCTGTATATATTATATGTAATAGTATAGTTTTTCTTGACATGAAAAGTTTTTGTGTTGAAAATCTTTAACCCAAATTCTTGTAACAAAAAAAACAACAACAACAACAACTACGATAATAATAATGGAAAAAATAAAATAAATGAGACGATGACGATGACGACTATTAATGAAAAAAAACATCAATAACCCCAAATGGTCTGCGACCATTGGCCTGATCCGATTACCACCGATTTATCACCATCACCACTACTACCACACCACCACTCAATCATATATATAAACACAGTTTACAGACCCGATCCAGGAACATATCTAAAGAATAAAAAGTGAGAAGTGTTTTCAATTCTATACTTTTTCCATTATTTATCAAGTCGGCGCACATAATCATCATTGTTAAATTTTGATTTTAGTAGTAGTGGTACAATATATATTTTTGTGTAAAAATTCTTCAATTCTTGTGTGTGTGTTTAGAATATAAACATTGACTTTTACTACTGCTACCACAGTTGAAATAAAAACAACCAGATTCTGTAGACCAAAACTATGAATTGGTGGACCTTTTTGAATGTGTGTGTTGTGATCATTTTCTCCTCCTCCTTATATTCCACCTAGTTCAATTTTATTCTATGGATCATTTCATTCTGGTTCATTTTCATTTTTTTGCTTGAGTTTTTTTTATATATTTTGTGTTGCTGTTTGTTGTTCTTCATTTTCATCATTATCATCAAGTATTGCTGCTATTTTTAGAAAAATTTTGCCCTATTTTTTTCGTTCATCTATGTCGTAGACCAGAGAGAGAGAGCGAGCAAATTTAAATGTGTTTGTGCTGGTTTAGTTTGGTTTGGTTTTTTTTCCTTACTAATACTCCTAATATTTGCTGGGTGTTTTTTTTTTTTTTTTTGGTGAATTTTCTCTTCTCCATCACACATGAAAAATATTGACTAAAACTGAATTGTCTTGTCGAAATTCTTATTTTTTTTTTTTTTTTTTTTGATGAGGATTTTTTTTTTGTAAAAATTTTCGATAGTGATTCTGGTTATTCTTAGCGGTGTTCCGTGGTCTGTGTTTGATTGTCTGTGTGTGTGTGTGTGTTTCTGGTGTTTGTTTAATATTAATGTATCGGTATCGGTGATGGTGGTTTGTTTGATTGAATCCTGATTGGTCATTTTCAATTTTTGTTTTCAACTGCATTAAATGTGCCGTTTTTTTTTGTTTCGTTTAGTCACGTAAACAATATATATATTATTACATACATACCTTGAATTTTAAAATCTACAAATTATCATTGCCAAATTGATTTGGTCAAACACTTTTTCCTTCAACATTCCTTGATTGATTGATTTATTTGAAATTTTAGATTCTTCTCATGTTTTTCATTTGTGTGGAAAAGAATATGGGAAAAAAAGAAGAACCAAATTTATTATTATTGTTGTTGTTGTTGTTTTTGTAAATACCGTGCCTTATTATTAGTGTTGTTTTGATTAATCATCATCATCATCTTCATCACATCCATACACAAGGCTGCCATTTTATTTTACTTTGTTTTTCTTGTATTAAAACCAACATTGGAAAAAAATTGCTTCAATAAAAAACCAAGTGATGATAGAAGGTGCACACACCAAAGGTACTATGGTCAATGATCATGTATTTTGTCAATAACAAACAGAAAAAAAATGTTCATGGATGATGTGTGTGTGTGTGTTTTGTTCTGCTTTTATTTTGAAATTTTTTTTTATTGAATTCTTGATTCTAATTTTTCTTTCTCTTTTTATTTTTATTTTTCTAGTTGAAGGATTAATAATTAATTCATCATCATCATCATCATTACGATTCATTGGATTCTTGAAACGTGGAAAAAGAAGAAAAACAAAGAAAGAATTTTTTTTTTTTGGAAATCTTTGGAATTAATTTATGGTTTTTTTTGACGGGATTGCCAACTTTTCATTCATTCATACCTTTTTAAAAAAATAATTAATTAATTAATCAATTGATTATTTGTAAAAGTGTGTTCAAATTTCAACAACAGCAGCAGCAAAAAATTGTAAAACCCAGATTTTATTCCCAAAAATTCAACTACAACGAAATAATTTTTTCCATTCGTTTTTTCTCTGTATACAAACCCTTGTTGAATTCGATATCCTCGTTATTATCATCATCATAAACATTATAATTGCTGTTTTAATTCTTGGGTTTTTGCACCAAAAATTGAAATTGATAATTAAATTCTTTTCATGCTCTGGTCAAACAACAACAACAACATATAAGTGAATCGTTTTGTTTTGTCATCATCATCATCTTCATCATCATAATCAACTACACTCACACATACACAGACACACACACACACTTACACATAATTATATCATCATTTTGTGCGATATTTTCAAAATTTTGAAAATTCATTTTTTTAAAAAAAACCCGCCATCATATTTTCATCATATTGAATCATCGTCATCATTGAATCAACAAATAAAAAAAAGCCAGCCAACCAGCCAATTTTTTTTCTCTTTTTCTCTTATATACAACAAACCAGATCAATTTCTTTTACCGAAAATATATATAAAATAAAATATATAATAATATATAATAACCACAACAACCAACAAAAATGAATGAATTAGACAGTTTACGTCAAGAAGCTGAAACATTAAAAAATGCAATCAGAGTAAGTATTTATTATTATCATTATATGGGTGTTTGTTTGTTTTTCCTCATTTGTATTCTTTTGTGTGTATTGTAGAATCTTTTTTCTATTTATAAAAAGAAAGAAAGAATCTGGTATATTCTTTATATTATTGTCAAAATTATTTATAAATCCTAGGCAAGGTATCCAATTGAAAAATATTCTATATTATCTATCTTTAATTTGATTGATAAGATGAATGAATGAATGAATGAATGATCGACTATGACGATGAATAATTTTTCGTCATCTTTATCGATCGATTGACCTGTCTCTCATCATTCTATGAAACATTAGAAAAATTGAAAATATCATTGATCATTGACTTATTGGATTATTATTGATTATTGATATATGACGAATTCAATTTAAATCATCGTAGAATAGAATAAGTCATTCATTCATGTGTGTAAGTGGCCCCCAACATCATTCATTCATCTATCCAATTTATCCACTATAACTATAACGGTAATATCCTTGTGTGTGTGTGTGTTGTGTATTCCTTTATGGAATTTGTTTCTCTCTCTTATTTTTTCTCAGTGATTTGAAGTGCATTTTATATTAAAAAAAGAAAGTTATAGTGAAACTAAAATTGTGAACTGAGATGAATGAAGATAGAGAGATTGATGTGTGTGTTTTGTTTTTTTTTTTTTTTTTTTACAAGCAAACAACTAAGCATTAATAACAACGATTGAAAAATATAAGAAAAAAAATAACCTTTTCACAAATGGAATGTAGATTGTGTGTTTGGGGCAAACAAACGAAAAAAAAAAACGACAACGAAATTTTCAAACGAAACCATACTGATGAAGATGGTGGTGGTGGTGGTGGTGGTTGTGTTCCATCACCTTTAGGTTTTTCTTCTTTCCCAATGTTTGTTGTTTTTGTTGTCGTTTCTTTGTGTATGTGTGTGTGTGTGTGATGTCGACGTCAAGCTGGTTTTTCAAATAATCCATTATTTTAGTTATATAGAATCATGGATCATTTCGTTTCAGGAACTTTTTTTTTGTTTGGAATGGTTAGGTCGTCGTCGTCGTCGAATAACATTCGACAATTCCACTATCTATTAGTTTGATGATGTGGTAGTCGTTTTTTTTCTATGTTATTTATGTTTTTTTTTGTTGTTGGAAGTTCCAGGCCAAATTCGAATGTTGGTTGATGATGATGACGTCATAATGTCCTCGAAACATAAAAAATATTTTATCGCTTCTTTGAGGTTAGAATCTTGATATAATATAGTAAAAACAACGGTTGTATGTGTGTGTGTGTGTGTGTGTGTGACAATAACCAGAGTTGACCTGTCGTTGTATCTGGTCTGGTATATTTATTATCATCAAATGTAAATAGGAAATGATTGGTTTTTTTGGATGGATGGATGGATTGTCATGTGTTGTTCTTAGAAAAAAAACAAGATACAGAATATGATTAATTCAATTAGAAATTTGTTTTATTTTGTTTTTGTTTATGTTTTATTATTACGTTATTAACACCTTATATTTATGAATAAAAAATATAGGATGCACGTAAGGCCGCATGTGATACCTCATTGGTACAGGCCAACACAAACATGGAACCAGTTGGTCGTATACAAATGCGTACCAGAAGAACATTACGTGGCCATTTGGCTAAAATATATGCGATGCATTGGGGATCTGATTCAAGGTTTGTTTGTAATTCTGGATAACAGAAAAACAAAACAATGATTAGTTCAATTGATTATCGTTTATTGATTTTTGTTTTGTGTTTTTTTTTATTGTTTTTAATTAGATATCTGGTCTCTGCATCACAAGATGGCAAATTAATAGTTTGGGATGCCTATACAACCAATAAAGTACATGCAATTCCATTAAGATCTAGTTGGGTTATGACATGTGCATATGCACCATCCGGTTCCTATGTTGCTTGCGGTGGTCTCGATAACATTTGTTCAATCTACAGTCTTAAAACTCGTGAAGGAAATGTACGAGTTAGCCGTGAACTGCCTGGCCATACTGGCTATCTTTCATGTTGTCGATTTCTTGATGATAACCAAATTGTCACTAGCTCTGGCGATATGACATGGTATGTTTTATAATATTCCATTTCCATATAAATTACTGATACTTGATTTATAATTTATGAAGCGCTCTTTGGGATATCGAAACCGGTCAACAATGTACTTCATTCACTGGCCATACAGGTGACGTAATGTCATTATCACTTGCACCTGATATGCGAACATTTGTATCTGGTGCTTGTGATGCATCAGCTAAGGTATGAAATTGTATTTATTTTCATTGTTTTTATCTAATGTATGGAATGTATGGTTGTTTTTGCTGATTTCAATAGCTTTGGGATATTCGTGACGGAATGTGTAAGCAAACATTTCCCGGTCATGAATCTGATATAAATGCCGTCACTGTAAGTTTTATATCCAAAAATTTTGTATATTTCCAATAATCAATGAATTTTTAAATAGTTTTTCCCGAACGGTTATGCATTTGCAACCGGTTCCGATGATGCAACATGTCGTCTATTCGATATACGAGCCGATCAAGAGCTTGCCATGTATTCACATGATAATATTATCTGCGGAATCACATCAGTTGCTTTCTCAAAATCTGGTCGTCTATTATTAGCTGGTTATGATGATTTCAATTGTAATGTTTGGGATTCAATGAAAGCTGAACGTGCCGGTATGTTTATCATCATCATCATCACACACGCACACACACACGAAATTATTTCAAAACTAATTTTATTCCATTCATATATATTTCTAGGTGTTCTAGCTGGACATGATAATAGAGTATCATGTTTAGGTGTTACCGAAGATGGTATGGCCGTAGCAACCGGATCATGGGATAGTTTCCTGAAAATATGGAACTGAGTATTATTCACCAAATAAACACACATACATACACATCTCTCTCTCTTTCTCTTTACTTGTCTCTCTTTCTCTCTCTCTCTCTCTCTATTCTCTTTCTTATTGAATTACCATTATAATTATTATATACGAATATACTATTGGACCACATGACACACACACACATACACCACATTACCACATTTGATCTATTATAAAATTGATTCAATGAATGTTTTTGAAAAAAAAACAGAAGTGGAAATGAAACAGCAACAACAACAACAACAACAATTGCTACTATTACTACTACCAATTACGCATCAACCACACCTACCCAACCTCACCATCGTCGCCGCCATCGCCTGCTATCTTCCTGAAATGAAAATCATCATCAGCATCATTTATAATTCATCAGAAGAAAAATGTTTAAAAAAGCCACCTGAAACAAAATTGAAAAAAAATGCGAAAGTGTTTCTGAGAAAAAAAAAATCAAGCCGATCCAATGAAAAATAAAAAATCCTCTCCGATTAATTATCGGGCCATCATTATTATTATTCATGAATGCATTTTATATACATCATCATCATCATCATCATCATCATCATCATCATTTATATACATTCAAATCCGATCAATTCAATTCAAAACAGAAAAAAAACAAAATGGAATTAAATTTGGAAATTATTATTAAAACAAGAATAATTGAAATGTTTTTGTTTTTGTTTTTCATTTCAAATAATTCCAAAGAAATTTTTTTTTTTCTTTGGAATACTACCACCCCTCTTTTTTCACATGCAAAAAAACCTGCTGACCAATTCAATTGTGACCATTCACACGCCCACCACACACCTACACACACACACACACACATGTTTTGTGAACACTTTTTTTATATATACATGATAATTTTTTTTGTTTGTTTTGTTTGTTTGTTTTTTTTAAATTTTTGTTTTCTCAAATTCTTTTTTCTTTTTTTGCATCTTTTCATTGTTCTGTTTCCATTCATTCATTCATTCATTCTATCTTGATGATTGCTTTGCTTACACAAAATTTCTTTATCATTTTTCATTATATATTGCAGGCTAATTTAAATAAATGAAAAACACTCATTATATATACAATGATGATAAATGATTTACACCAACCAACCAGCAAAAAAAAAAGTCAATTATAAATAATTATCAAATAAATAATCGATTTCCACACACAAACAATAAACACACTGTTTTTGAATTGTAACATTTCAAATGCCTCCCACACCATCGCCATCCAAACACCCACCCACCCACACAATCGCACATTATTTCAAAATTTTGTTTCAAAAAAAAAAAATTCAACATAACCGCTACCTATTCTCAACCGTTTCTGCCGTTCTGTTTTGTTTTCCATCATCATCATCATCATTTCTGTGTATATTTCTCACCCCACGTTTCCGTTTCTATATTATTGATGATATCATTACTCCCTGATTTTTTTTTTCAAAAAAAAAAATTCATTCATAAATCTAATTACATAACTTGGCAGGCATGATTCTCTGTGTGTGTGTGTGTGGGTGTCCAATGTCCAAACAACCGCAACAACAACAACAGCTACAAAAAAAAACCATTGTCAACCACATCGATTCAGATTATAATTTAATGGATATTTGTAATTTAAACAAACAAAAACACCAATGTTACATTCACACATTTATTATTTGTCGAAAAAAATAATAATGATCAACCCCAAAAATGATTCTTTTCATTCAACCACATCATCATCATCATCATCATTTGAATCATCATGTGTGACACTCACACCATGACACACACCCACTTACAATTACTAGCCAATTCTTATATAAATTTTGATTGATTTTCTACATATATTCTATGATTATTATTATTATATGATGATCCAAACCACAACCATTCAGCAATCGATGATGATGATATTGATGATGATAATGAATGATTGAATGATGATGATGATTGACCATCATTTTTTTTCCACATCCACACTTTCTTTCATCTTCAACAAAAGAAAAAAAACAAAGAAAAATTTAGGTACTTTTTTTCGCTTTTCAAATTTTCTGATAAATTTTTTTTGCTTTCATTATTTCCGGAAACATTTTTTTCAAAATTCTTGTTTGCCCTTCCTTAATCACTCTTCCAATCACCCACCCCCCTCACACACACACACACACACATACACAGATAAAGACATGCAAGATTTAACAATTTTCAGATGTGCAGTTGGGCCCGTGGTTTGTGTTTAATTTATTTCCTTTTTTGTTTTGTCCCGTTTTTTTCATAATAAACGTTTCCGAATTCCAGAATTATATTAGACACACACACACACATACAAATCACTACAGCTGTTGTCTACGATGTTATTTTGGACCAAAGAAAATTAAAGAAAAAAAACGATTAAGCAATAGTCATCAATGAGAAAAAATCACTATCAACCTCGGTGTTTATTGATTCTGTGTATGTGTGTTAGTGCAATGTAATCAACAACAACGACAAAACATCAACATTATCATTGCCATCAACCATCATAATCATCATCATCAGCCATTGATACACACTCACACACACACACACACACACCCATCACCCCTTTGCATACACACACACAAAAAAAATAAAATTATGAAAAGTATATGAAAACAAACAAACAAACAAAAAAAAACAAAAACCAAAATCAATGAGAAAATTTCTTTTCTTTTTATTTTGGAATTTTCATATTCACAACACCAAAAGAAACAAAAAACGAAACAAAACAAAACAGAAAAAAAGATGGTCAACCCAATTCATTCGACAACAACAACAACAATAAACCAATTATTATTACCAAAACATCAAACATACAACATTGTAGTGTGTTTTATAAATATTATATTATATAAATATAATAATAATTAAAAAAAAATTTTTTCTCAAAACCAAATCAGAAACAAAAACATTTGTTAATCGATAATTTTTTTTCATTTATTTATCATTTCAATTTGAAAATTTTGCCAAAATTCGAATTCAAATTCATCGTTGTCGTTGTCGTCGTCGTCGTCAGGTGTAAATAGTTGTTCGAAAAATTGGAATCAAAATTTGATTTTGTGCGATTGTTTCAAAAGTGCATCCAATGATAATGATGATCACCGCATATATATTTATAAGGGTTACCATCATTTTATTTATCTATAAATTATTTATTTTCAGCATTAAAAAAACAGCAACATGTTAATTTCGATTATTTAAATTTTAACTAAATTTTAAATTTCAATTCATCACACAATATATATGCTATCAATGATAATCATGATGGTAGGTAGACTTCCATAATAAATATATATAAACCTGTTGCATTTTGAAAAAATTGTTTGTTAGTTTGTCTGGTATCCGCATTTACTCAGACACACACAAACAAAATGTCTACACCATCGTTGACATTTCAATTATTGACAGTTGCCATCATTGTCCTTCAACGGCAAATGATCCATAATAATGTTGGTAGCCGTACACAATGGAATACTACATATGATTATATTATTGTTGGTGCCGGTACATGCGGTTCATTGATTGCCGGTCGATTGACGGAGAATCCATCAACTACGGTATTATTAATAGAATCCGGTGGTCCAGCATCGGTTATCACTGATATGCCCGTTGAAGCTTGGAATATTGAAACCGGTGAATTCGATTGGGGATATAATACCGTACCACAGGCTAATGCTGGTCAGTTTTATTATTAATTTAGATTTTTCAATTTTTTTTATTCAAATCAATTCATTTTTTTTTTTTTTTATCATAGCTTTTGCTTTCCGGAATCGTCAAATGGTGTTTCCACGTGGCCGAGTAGTTGGTGGCTCACATACGATCAATTTTAACATCTACAATCGTGGTAATCGTCATGATTTTGATTATTGGGCCAATTATTATGGTCTGCAAGAATGGTCATTTGAAAATGTTCTGCCATATTTTCAGCGTACCGAAAACAATACGAATAGACGCTATGTAGAGGCTGCACCAAATTATCATTCTACCAGAGGTCAGGTTGAAGTTTCATCACCACCGAATCCTGATCCAATTCTATTGAAATATATGGAAGGTTGGAATCTTCAAGGTCTACCATATACCGATGTAAATGGACCAAATCAATTAGGCACAAGTAAGTTTAATAGTTTTGGATCGTATCGTAATAACTCGTATTAATTCAAATAGCACTGATTCAACAAACAATTACGATACAGAATCATACACGTCATTCAACATCGAACGCATTTATTGTACCAGCAATTGGCCGTAATAATCTACACGTATTAGTACGTAGTCATTGTACCCGAATTCTTTTGCGAAACAATACCAATACTAATCAATTAGAAGCATATGGTATTGAATTTGTTCGTAATAATCAAACATATCAAGTTTATGCCAATCAAGAGGTGATACTTACCGCTGGTGTCATAAATACACCGCAGGTTTTGATGTTGTCTGGTATTGGTCCACGACAACATCTTACCGATCTAGGTATACCGGTACAAGTGGATCTACCGGTTGGTCAAGGACTACAAGATCATCTTTTCACACCGGTCGATTATTTGACCACTGATGAAAATCTTATTCAATATGGTCGAGATATCAATAATGTTCTGACTGTACAGAATTTATACGATTATTATGTTAATAATTCTGGTCCTATCACACAAGTACCTATCGTAATGGCATTCCATTCATCAAAACTTAATGATGTACCAGATTGGCCAGACGGCATTATGGCCACTTTGATCAATCGAATTCGTAAGTTTGCAACGATATTAAAATCGTTGAACATAATAAGTAATTTTTTCATTGATGCTTTTATATAGCCGAAAATGTGACAACAATTACCGGATATTTTCAAGATCCAGATGCATGGGCAGAATATTTTCAACCAATGGCTGGTGATCCTAGACATTTTTTCGTACTATATGCATTTACTCTTACACGAAGTCGTGGATCTGTACGACTTCAATCACGAAATCCATTTGATGCACCACTTATTGATCCTAATTATTATGGCGATCTACATGATCTAGCCGTTGTTGTTGATACTATGAGTGCTGGTATGGAAATGATGGAACAACCATTTTTCCGTCAATATGCTCGAATATATCCACGTTCAATACCTGGATGTCAATTTTGTCCTGATAAACCCTATTACAAATGCTATACATATTTAGCTTGCCATGCACAAACACTTACGCTCACTGCTTTTCATCCTACTTGTAAGTTTTTTTTTTTTTTTTTTTTTTTTTTTTTTTGATTACAAAAAAATTGAAATAATTTCTTTTCATTTTAACAAAAAATAAAAATAACCAGCCTCCTGCCGTATGGGTAATTCTAGTGATACTGGTGCTTGTGTTGATGAACATTTACGTGTACGTGGAGTAAATAATCTTCGTGTGATCGATGCATCAATCATGCCAAAAATTGTCAATGCCAATACGAATGCTGCAACTATGATGATTGCCGAACGTGGTGTAGATTTTATTCAACAAGATGCACGTTGATGATGAACATGATAGTTATGTTTTCTGGAACCTTGGAGTTTTTTTCAAACTGTTTCAAACTCCTAGAATATACTATATGTATTTCGACAGATAAAACACACCCATTTGATTAGAGACTTATCAAATAAGTAATAATAAAGAAAAAAAACAAATCAACTAAAATTACGGATGTTTATTTATTTCATTTGTTTTAATTGATTTCATATATTGAATTTCAATGGATGGTAAACAAAAAAATCACCATATGTGTTTATAATATAATAAATGGGTGGTGGTACTGGTACTGGGTATTCACTATGATATCATTTGATAGTTTGACGATTCGACAATAATTGTGTGAGTCTCTCGATATCTATATATATAAACTTGGCTACATATGTGTGTCGTTTATACAAAGCTTTCGTTGTTGTTGTTGTTGTTGTTTTATGTAAGCATGCATGAATGCATGCATGTTTTTTCTTCGGTTCGAATCTTGATTTCTTGATGATAATGTAAACAAAACACATGTCTTATTATAAAAGTTAGGCGGTGTCGTTACCACGACGATGTCCAACTTTTTTTTAACCATCAAATCATCATACATCATAGTTGTCGTCATTGTTTCCATGTTTTTTTTTGCCCAAAAACTGAATTCTAGTCAATTATTCAATTGAAATTTGACAAAGATTTCACATTATGAATAAAATACAAACATTCATTACATTGTTTGTTATATTTGTTTCGTTGCTAGGATTTTGTTCGACAAAAAATGGTAATCATCATTAATCAATTAATCGATTAATTCGTGATTAATTTTTTCCATTCTTTCATCCATTTAATTGATTGATAGTAAAAGATTTGATTGTCGTATCGGTCGCCACACGTAGTACCGATGGTTTTGAACGTTTTAATCGTTCAATTCAGGTTTACGGATTGAAATTAGAATTGCTTGGTCTAAATCAACCATGGAAAGGTGGTGATGTAGTTCGAAGACCTGGTGGTGGACAGAAAATACGATTATTACGGCAATATCTAGAATCGGTACAAGATAGAGATGATCATCTCATACTATTCACCGATAGTTACGATGTTATCATCAATGGTAATGGTGATGAAATCATTAAGAAATTCAATACATTCAAGGCAAACGTTGTATTTTCATCGGAAAAATATTGTTGGCCCGACATATCATTAGCTGTATGTTTTTTTTCAACGAATTAAATTAAAATTCTAATAATTCCATTAATTATAGACTTTATATCCTAAAACCGATGATAAACGTTATCTAAATTCTGGTGGTTTTATCGGTTTTGCATCCGATCTCTATAGAATCATTCAGCTAGCCAAAGATATTAATGATGATGATGATGATCAATTATTTTATACGAAAATTTATCTTGATAAAAAATATCGTGAAAAAATCGGTATAAAATTGGATAGAAATTCACAATTATTTCAAAATCTAAATGGTGAAATCAGTGATGTTGAAATTCGTTTCAATCAAGGATCAAATATTGTTGATAATCCCAAAAATGCTGATGCATTTTTATTCAACAAAATCACACAAACATATCCAATTATTGTACATGGAAATGGTGCAAGTAAAATTCCATTAAATTCTTTGGGAAATTATCTAGCTAAATCATGGCATCCGGCAATTGGTTGTATTTCATGTGATGAAAATGAACAACGAATTAATTTGGATCACATTGATCATGATGATTATCCTCATGTTTTAATGGCCATCACCATATTGAAACCAACACCATTTTTTCCAGAATTTCTTGAATATTTAACATCATTAGATTATTATAAACATCGTATTACATTGTTCATACAATCAACAAATGATTATCATAATGAACAAATTGATAAATTGATGGAAAATTTTCGTAACTATTATCATGATATACGATATGTGGAAAATAAACAGGCTAAAGAATGGCAACTACGTAATAATTATCTGTAAGATTATTTACATTTTCGTTTTGTTTTGTTTAATCTAATTTAAAAAATTTATTTTCAATTTATTAGTGATGAATGCACACGTGTCAATTGTGATTATCTATTTGTCGTCGATAGTGATGCTCGATTAACCAATAGTCGTACACTTCGTGATCTAATCGAAGCCAATCGGTAATTCAATCGGGGTTTTTTTCTAGTTTTGTTTGGATTATGTTTTCAAATCGAAAATAATTTTTTTTTTATCATTTTATATAGATCAATTATTGCATCAATGTTGGTACGTCCAAAAGAATATTGGTCCAATTTCTGGGGAACAATCACCAATGATGGCTATTATTCACGTTCACATGATTATGTTCAGATTATTAAAAATGAACGAAGGTAAGTTTGCTGTGGTGGCCACTTGTTTTTTTTTCAAAAATCGGCTTTAAAATTTTTTCTATCCACTGCATATTTATTATTAGCCTTTTTAATTTTGAAAAAAATTAACATGTGTAGTTTGCTTGTTTGTTTACTAAACTTACCATACATTCATATGTACCGGAATCCATTTGTCTTGCTGGATCAATTTCCAATTTACTTTTAATCTGTGCTTCTTTTTCTTTACCAAATTTCCATTCATTTATCTAGAAAAAAAAGAGAATGAAATAATCAAATGTTGAATTAAAAACAAAAACAAACAAACAATTTATAGATGATAACACTTACATGTAGATAATTATTAAAACTATTATCTATTTCGATTCCATCTTTGAACCATGTGATTCTATATAAAAGATAAATGAATGAATGTGAATGATCATTCGATTCATTTCAATCGTTTATATCTATATATTTACGTTGGTAACGGATCACCGGTTGCCACACAAATGAATATAATTTTATGGCCAAGATAGAATTCATAATCAAAATGTGATGATCGTATTATCTGTGCACCCTGTGTGTTTGTTTGTAATGAAATTGAAAATTTTTTTTTTAAAAATTAAATCAAACAACATACATACATCAGCATTCATATAATAATCAGCACGTTTAGAATTGGTATTATGAAATAATAATTTTGAATTTTGTTTACGCATTTTACGTCGACGGCTACTTTTTCCACGACGTCCATCAACACAACAATCCTGTATTATGATGATTATGATGATTATTAAACATAGCCAAAAAGTTTTATTTTTCGAAATCATCACCATCATCATTATTATTATTGCTATTGAAAAAATCAATTATTGTTGAATGATAAAATGGCTGAAATAATAATTCCCTGTGTGTGTTTGTGGTCATGTTTGTTTCGGTTGTTTTTTGTTGTTTTTGTTGTTGCTTGTTTGGATTGTGTGTGTTTTAAGGTTATTTATTTTATCTGATAATTTTTTGACATTTTCAAAGCTATATAACCCCTGATCAAATTATTCTATTATTATTATTCGATTCTATTCAATACAAACAAACCGACGATTCAATTCTTCGTTTTTATTATTGTTTCATTCCATTCATTCACAATCCATTGTATGCGCAGAACAATAATTTTTCAATTTTTTTTTTCTTCATTTATTTTTCTTTTCCTGTTCACGGTAGAGGAATCTGGAACGTACCATTCATATCGACCGCTTATCTAATCAAATCTTCATTACTAAATTTGGAAAATCTTTCGGCCAATGAAAATAATAATCATCGACCATTATCATATCGAAATCATCAACAGCATAAAAATGATGATAATGATGATGAAAAATCATTCGATGCCGATATGTATTTCTGTCAAGTATTACGTGATAATGGTATATTTATGTATGTCACAAATCTTAAGGATTATGGTCATCTTGCTCAGATGGACACAATGGATGTATCGTTGAAACATCCAGAATTTTATGAAATTTATACGAATGAATATGAATGGCGTAAACGTTATATACATGAAAATTATTCTACAAATCTACTTGATGAAACAATTATTGAACAACCATGTCCAGATGTTTATTGGTTTCCAATTGTAACGCCAACATTTTGTCGTCATTTAATTGGTTTGTTTTTCATATTGCGAATTTTGATATTTGTTTTTTTCTGGCAATAATTCTTGATTCTTGATTCATTCTTCTAATGAAAATAGAAATCATGGAAAATCATGGACAATGGTCAGCGGGAAAAAATCAGGATCCACGATTAGCTGGTGGCTATGAAAATGTACCTACCGTTGATATTCATATGAATCAAGTTGGTCTAGAACAACATTGGCTTTATTTCCTACGTGAATATATCCGTCCAGTACAGGAAAAAATATTTATTGGTTATTATCATGATGTATGTATTGTTTATATGATGATTTCTTGTTCTGATTAATCATTATCGTCTCGTTTTTATCCAACCAGCCACCAAAAGCAATAATGAATTTTGTTGTTCGTTATCATCCAAATGAACAAGCTTTTCTACGGCCACATCATGATTCATCCACCTATACGGTGAATATTGCATTGAATAGACCAAGAATCGATTATGAGGTATGTGTGTGTGTGTGTGTGTGTTTGTTTGATTGGTAGTTTGCTTCAATTTAATTTTATTTTTCTCATTCAATTTAGGGTGGTGGTTGTCGATTTGTACGACAAAATTGTTCAGTTACTAATCTTCGTCTTGGTTGGTCATTATTACATCCTGGACGATTGACACATTATCATGAAGGCTTGACAGTAACTAAAGGTGTTCGTTATATTATGGTATCATTTGTTGATCCATAATATCCAAATAATCTGAATAATCTGATAAGAACAAAAAAAAATTTTCTCTAAAAAAAAGACAATCCAATAAATAGAAAGCTCTTGTTTCAATGTTATTTCCGGCCATAAAAATGTCATGATGTATTTTTTTTAAAAAAATCTAATCGATACATTACTACACACTACTGCTAGTCGTCTTTAAATCACGAATTTTTTTTCATCAAACAACACATACGCACACCTACATATATTTATCAATAAACGAAAAACATTGATCAATTTCATTCGTATTTTTTTAGCGCAATTCTTTTCATAATTTCAAAATTATTGTGATTTGTGAAACCAACCCGTTATAGATATGTGAACCGAAGATCTATATATAAATTTTTTTTTCCATTTGAAAAGTTTATATAGCAAAAATGAGGCATCATGCACACATACACACACGCGTATATTATATATAATCAATCGTAATTCATAAACCACCACCACCACCACCACCATCATCAACCGTTTGTTGGTGTGTTGCGATAAATTCGACGCGCATATACATTTATAATCGCTGAATTCCATTCCACATCCACACATATACATCCAAAAATTGAGAAAAACCACTATTGAACAAAATGTGGAGCTTTATCTTCTTTTTTTTTGTCCAGGCAGCAGCGGTAGCAGCCAAAAAAAAAATGTTGACTATCACATAATGATACATGCCATTTTTCGAATGTTTTTTTTCGAAGAATATCTGGGCACTACGTTTTTTTGTTTGTTTGTTTGTTTTTTTTTAATTTTTAGATTTTTTTCTGGGGCGTTTTGTTTTTGTTTTTAATTTTCATCATCATTCAATCGATCAAATGCATATTTGTTGATTTGTTTTGTTTTTGTATTGACAACGATGACAACAACAACAACAACGATGATGAAAATGACCGAATAATTTTTTCTACAAAATACTCGACCATTTTTTTTGAATTCTCAATTCTCAATTTTTTTGATTACTCGAAGCTAGTCATTATTTATAAAATATACGAAACATTCCAAATATTCTCTCTCTCACTTTTGGCCATATATTTATCATCATCGACATCGAATACCAAAATAAAATTGACTAAAAAAGAACAAACGAACGAACGAACGAACAAACCAAAAGAAGAAAAAATGGATCACTTTATCAATTGCATTCAATTTGATTCTAATCGTCATTCTATTTTCATCAATGATCAATCAATTAATTGATTGATTACTGTTGTTTTTTTTTGTTTAATAATAATAAAGCTTTAATTTAAATTTCTCATTCATTATCATCAAAATCAAAAATTAAAATCAAATTGGCGAACAACATGGCAACATTACAATTAAAACCGGTTACCGGATATCATCGTGAAGAATTATTAGACGATGGTGGTGAATCAATTATGAATAATAATAATGATTCAATAAATATAATGTTTCCACGTAATGTAACTAGTATTGGTAATCCACATTTTTCAAATAATTTACAATTAATACAACATGAAGAATCAACATCATCATCTGTTGCATTGAATGATCCATTCGCAAATATCACCAATTTACGATCTCAGAATTTATTATCATCACCATCATCGAATGATATGAATGTTCCATCATTAGCCACCGCCAACAATAACAACAACAACAATAATAATAATAATAATAATAATAATAGTAGTAGTAGTAATTTAAATGAAAATTATTCAATATCATTCATAACGACATCAAATGTTTTTGGTAATAAACGAAATTTTTGGCTACGTATGACACAATTTGAAAGGATCTCATTTTTTGCAATCATATTATTGGCATTAATTATATTTGTTTTGGCATTAATATTATTATTACAACCGAATCCTATTCTTCAAGTACATTTGACTAATGAAAATTGTAAGTTTTTTTCTTTAATTTTGTTAATATTATTTTTAAACATATATTTTTTTTTTTGAATTCTTCATTAGCTTTATTATGCCTTAAACCGAAATGCATTTCGATCGCCAGTTCAATTATTGATTCATTGGATGAGAATGTAAATCCTTGTGATGATTTCTATCATTATGCATGTGGTGGTTGGATCAAAAAGAATCCATTACCAGATGGTCATGCATCATGGGGAACGTTTGGAAAATTAACACAAGATAATCAACTTATATTGAAAAATGTTCTTGGTAAGTTTTTTTTTTGTTCCGTTCTATTTCAATTAATCATGATAATTATCCATTTTTCAGAAGATAAAAAACGTAAATTTAGTGATGCTGAACGAAAAGCCAAAATATATTATGATTCATGTATGGATCGTACTAAAGTGATTGAAACATTAAAGGCTAAACCGATGCAAGAATTTATTGATTTGGTATGTTTTGTTGTTTTTTTGCAATATAAATTTCCATTTGATTTTTATTTGAAAAAAATACAGATTGGCGGCTGGAATATTAGCGGTGGATTCGATGTTGAAGCATGGAGTTTACAAAGTAAATTAACATTAATGCATAATCGTTATAATCGTGGTGGCCTATTCGAATGGTCAGTTAGTGCGGATGAAAAAGATTCCACCAAAAATGTATTGAATCTACAGCAAGGCAGCTTTATTATGCCAAGAGATTATTATCTGAATAAAACAGATAATGATGAAGTAATTATAGCATATTTAGATTTTATGACTAAAGTGGGTGTTCTGTTGGGTGGCGATGAAACAACGACACATGAACAGATGAAACGTGTAATGGAATTCGAAAGACAAGTATCGAAAATATTGATACCACCGGAAGATTTACGTGATGATCAAAAAACCTATCATAAAATGCAATTGAGTGATCTGAATAAATTGGCTCCATTCATCGATTGGATAGCCTATTTCAAGGAAGCATTTGCACCTATTAAACGTGAAATTACGGAAAAAGAACCTATCGTTGTATATTCACCCGAATTTTTTGGTAATCTATCCGAACTAATCGAACAACATTTAAGTGATAATGATAATAAAACGTGAGTGTTGTGAAAAAAAGCTAATCAAATTACTAATTTCAAATCAAAAAAAAAAAAAATAAAATAAAATAAATCGCAGAATCCTAGTCAATACGGTAGTTTGGTCAGTAGTACAACCAATGGTTACATATCTATCGAAACCATTTCGTGATGCAGCCAAAACATTTACACAGGTTTTAATCGGTTCCGAAGGTAGCTCAAGTCAATGGCGTTATTGTATTGGTGATACAAGTTCGGTACTTGGTTTCGCTGTCGGTTCAATATTTGTACACTCAGCATTTCGTGGTGAATCAAAAAATGAAAGTAAAATCATGATACAACAGATCAAAGATGCATTCAAAGAACATCTGGAAAATTTAACATGGATGGATCGACAAACATTAGAATTGGCAATGGAAAAAGCAGATGCCATTACCGATATGATTGGTTTTCCAGATTTTATACTTAATGAAAAAAAATTAAATAAACGCTACAAAGATGTAAGTTTGAATGAATGAATGAATAGAAAATTTTTATTTTCAATTTCAAATCTAATGTTTTTTTTTCTTCAAAAACAAAAACCTTAGTTGATAGTTAAAGATGATCAGTATTTTAAGAATAGCATTAATGCAAATATTTTTCTGCTAAATGAATATATTAAAAAGATTGATAAACCGGTAAGTAGATCGATTATTAGTAGTGGAGAATTCAATTTTCATTATTTTTTCCTTTTTTTTGGCTTCGAAATCAGACAAATAAAAGCGAATGGGATATGGCACCGCCCGTTGTTAATGCATATTATGCTCCAACTAAAAATCAAATCGGTAAAAATCAAATTTAATTTAAAATTGAATTGTTTTTGATTATTTTTTTTGTCTGTCCATTCATTTATTCATCAAGCTTTTCCAGCCGGCATTCTACAGGTAATCGTAATTGATGAAAATTTTAATCAAATAATTTTTTTGTTATTTCTCATTATAGCCACCATTTTATGATGTTAATCGACCAAAATCGCTCAATTTTGGTGCTATGGGTGTTGTGATGGGTCATGAATTGACTCATGCATTCGATGATCGTAAGGACTAATGATTTTTAGTTTAATTTTGCTTAAATATTGAAAATATTTTTTTCTTTGTTCTTTGTTCTTGTGAAAAGAGGGTAGAGAATATGATAAAAAAGGAAATCTACATGAATGGTGGCAACATGGTACGATATTAAAATTCAAAGAACGAATGAAATGTTTTCAAGAACAATATTCAAAATATATGATTGGAAATGATCATGTAAATGGAAAACAAACACTTGGCGAAAATGTAGCCGATAATGGTGGTCTTACTTCTGCTTTCCATGTGAGAATCCATTATTGATAATATTGACAACAATTTTCTCCAAATGCTAATTTATAACTAATTTCTATTTTTTTAAAAAAAATTAATTAGGCCTTCACAAAATGGTCACAACAAAATGGTGAAAATGGTTTCCAATTGCCTGGATTGAATTTCACACAGAATCAATTATTTTTCATTGGTTTCGCACAAGTATGGTGTTCAATCAATACACCCGAAGCATTAAAGATTCAGATTCGTAATGATCCACATACACCATCACAATATCGTGTCATTGGAACATTATCAAATTCACCACAATTTTCTCAAGCATTCAATTGTCCAATTGGATCGTCAATGAATCCTAAAGAAAAATGTAATATTTGGTGATCATTCAGTCATTCATTCATATTTTATTCATAAAATATTTGATTATCATTATTATTTGCCAACTTTTGTTCACATACACACAACAACAACAACAACAAAAAACATCAAACATTTTTTTTTTGAATGAAGAAAAAAAATGGCCAAAATGTTCCAAAATTTGATTGCCCAATATACTATAATAAATTGCCCAAATGAAAAGATATTCGAATCAATAAAAAAAAATTTGCCAAAAAAAATTCATTTAATTTTAATCAAAATGAATGAAAATTAAACATGATGTGATCGAGATGTAATCATTTAAACATAAATGTCAACGTTTTTTTTACCCGTTTGTTATTATTATAACCGGATAGAGAGAAATGGAAATATTTTCAAAAATATTTTTCCATCACCACAAGCTATGTCTGTGGTATGTTGTACATTTTAATATAATTAAATTTTTTTGTTCTTGCCGTTGTTATTTGAAGAGTGAAAATGCGGTGGTAGAGAGAGAGAGAGAGAAATGAGTAAAACATTGAGTTATTTAGTTAGTTAGATCCAAATAATCCCAGAAAAAAAATTGATCCTTAAGTGATAAGAGTGTCGCCTACACACTTATATATTGGTTATATTATATGTCGATAGTTTAATTTCATTGGTTTCAAGTAGATCACTTTTTTTTGGAGACATATTTCTCTTTTTTTGTTTCTTAGTATGATCACATGATAACTATCCTCTCATCGATGTAGATTAATTGATTTTAATCAAAAAAATTTTTTTTTTTTTTAAATTTATTTCTGTTTTTGTCGTTTGGAGCTTCAAACAATTTGATTCATAGTTTATATCCATATCCACTTGAACATCCGGTACATTAATTGTACACGATATTGATTCACGATCAGATTTTCAAGTTCATTTGATGAACGTGAATTAGTGAAAACAACATTGTCAAGAAATGTCATCACCACAAAGCCATCGTCATCATCATCGTCATCATCATCATCCTCATCATCATCATCGAACAAATAAAATAAATGAGGTAAAATTAATCCATTTGGTGAAGTGTTTTTTGTTGTTGTTGTTGTTGAATAATAATAATGATATGATTTTTGTTTGTTTGTTTGACTAAACACTCACATAGAACTATTCGAATGAACGTTATGTATCCATATTGAATCATTGTTTTGATGATATCGAAACATTCATTTCACGATTACAACAAAGAAAATTACAAAAACGTAATCATCATAAACGTGGAGGTCAGTCATCATCATCTTGTTGTTTCTTTATTTGAAATTTCATTGTTGTTATTTATCAATTATCTAATAACCAAAGGATCTAGTGATGGATTTCTAACCAAATATGCACCTGGTTCATGTGATGAGGAATTTTTTGAAATTCTTTCCAAATTTAAATTGGCATTTAATTTATTAGCTAAATTAAATGGCTGTATACATGATCCAAATGCACCGGAATTGGTACATTTCCTTTTCACACCTGTAAGTAGAGATAGTGATGTAATAAATTAACATTGAATTAAATATATGTTTCAAATAAATATAGCTTGCCATTATAATACAAGCTGCACATGAAAATGGTATGTGTTCAAAGAAAAAAAATTTAAATTTGAATTCTACATTCTTTTGAAAATTCTAATTCTATAATTATCACCAATATAGAGCCACCAATGGATCCATCTTTAGTTGAAATTCCATACTTGAGTCCGGATGCTATCGAATTTTTATTAAATTGTTGTACAAGTATAGAATGTGATCTTTGGCGTTCACTTGGTGATAATTGGAGAAAATCAGTTAAGGTTAGATTATTCTGTATAATGAAAAAATTCACAATGATTATTTGATTGGAAATTTTTTAAATTATAAAGCATATTCGTATGACAAGCCCATTTCAACCGATATTTAATGATGGTTGGACACCGGCCATCACTGAACCAGAATTATTGGGAATAATAATACCAACATTGATGGCTACTGAAATCGATATGGATCAAGAGGAAATCATTACAGCACGATCGTCATCTATTCCAAATAAATCTCGTAGTCCAACTAGTTTTGATGATGATAGTGATTATGAAGATCAACATACTAATGGTGATAATAATCCTCGAATCATTGCTCATTATCATCATCATCATCATCAACAGCAACAACATGGTAATCGGCCATTGTCATCACCAATCGGTTCGATTGAACAAGATGATCAATTACCATCATCACCATCATTATCATTGACAATGGTTGATCATAATAATATTAATAACAATGGTAATAGTAATGATCAACAAACAATCAATGTTGTACAAATGGAATGGCTAGCTGAATTACAATCACGGAATGCTACGAAAATTGTACGTGTACAATTTCCACGTACAGCTAATAATAATAAAGAGCTAACTGTAACAAGGTTTGTTTTAGACATTTTTGAAATTGTAAAAAAAAAATTCGCACTATTATGTATTATATATCACCAGAGGTGAAATCCTAGAAATACTTGATGATTCACGTAAATGGTGGAAAGCAAGAAATTCTCTTGGTCAAATAGCATATGTACCAAATACGATTGTTGTTGAAATTGAATCACCAATGATGAAGACGATGACGGCAGCTAATAAATTGAACAATACTACACACCGAGAGGATGGAAATTATCATGTCTATTCAGAAATTATTCGTAGACATTCATCATCATTATCACCGACAAATCGTCAAAGATTACATATTGAGAAAAAAAATTCCTTCAAAAATAATAAACCAATGGAAATTAAGATGAAAATTGTGCCATCACCACCGCCACCACCACCACCATTAACACCGTCACCATCAACACCACCATCGTTTACCATTATACAATCGCCAAAAATTGAAATAAACAAGCAACAACAACAACAACAACAATCAGAATCATTTGTGGATGATAAAATATCCACATCATCATCATTATGTTCAACATCATTGATTAGTTTATCACAATTTTCTATCAATACCTATGATACAATTGAACAGGAATTGAATGATCGTTTCAAAAATCCAATGATTATGGGACAAACGGATAAAACAAAAAGTAAATTGATTTCGTCGATTCAATTTATGAATTTTGAATAATTTATGTTTTATCATTTAGATCACGATGAATTCATGTCAAGATATAATGGTAAAAATGAAAATAATTTCACCGGTGAAGATTTATCAATGTTTTTAACATTCAAAGAATTTCCACCAGAATTGATAAATTTTGTTGAAAATTTATTTCAAATCAAAGAGATTCGTTGTAATCTATTCCATTGGAATAAAAATGAACTTCGGGTATGCATGTGTTTGTTGTTGATAAAGAAATCCATCGATAATTTTTTTTTCTTTCATATTCAAATAAGGCAAATATTCCAATGAACATTGCAAATGATTTTCTTATACAACGTCTTTGGAGTAATTTATTATTATTGAAAAACATGGTAATATGGCACATTAATTAAGAATGATAATGATGTATCATTAACTAAAAAAAAAATTCTTTTTCCATTTATTCTTTGTGCATTATTGAAAATTAGGTAAAACCATCAAAAATGGATACATTGGCAATCATATTAAAACAACGTAAACGATTATTGATTGAAAAAATGAAAAAAGATTCCGATACGGCTGCAGAGAAATCCAATTCAGATACATTGAATGATAAAAAGTGACGATAATGGTGATTCAAATGTTTGATGATCTTTGGATAATTGCCAAATAGTTAATATTTTTTTATCGAAAAAAAAATTTGAATAAAAAAAACATTTTTTCCATTGCGAAATTCAATGATGATTATTGTTATTATTCAATGTGAGCTTTTCATTTGTTTCTCGTAACAGATCATCTATTGGATTATTATTGTTATTGATTTGTGGTGCTGTTGCTGTTGTTGCCGGCGTTGTTTCTCCCGATTTTATTGAATTGGTGGTGGTCGAATATTTTTCATCAAAAATTCGTACATTACCACCACCGGGTACATGTTTAACATTGTCTAGTGAACCAACTTTTGATTGTACTTTCCAATCTAATTTTTGTGTCACAACACGAACATTTCCGCCTTCTATATTGATGGAATGGATTTTGAATTTTCAATTTCTGTTTATTTATTTATTTATTCACAGATAAACTTACGAGGTTTATGTGTAGCATTATCCAATGAACCGATTCTGGATTTTGTTTCCCATTTTAATTTTTGTGATTCAATCTTTTTATCGCCTCCAGCTTTGTTGTTTTAGCCAAAAATTTAAATTGAATTCATTAATTATTCTTGATATAAACAAACATTGAAAATGAATAAATAAATACCCGGTTTATGACGGACATTATTTAATGAACCAATTTTGGATTTAACATTCTTTATATTAGGTCCTTTAGCAGTACCGACGGTCACTTTGTTGATTGGCATTTCTAATTTTCCAATTGATTCAATTCAACATGGAATAAAAGATGAAAAAAAAAAATTAAATTTGAAATGGAAAACCTTTAACATACTTTTATCTGTTGATTGACTATCATTACTGTTTAAACTGGAATGACTGATACCCGGACTAACTGGAGTTGACATTTTTTTCGACATTTGGTTTGTTTAACTTTTTAAAGGCTTTGGTATTTCAACGAAAAGAATTTCTATTGCACGCGAACAAAAAAGAATTTGAGCTGAAATAATTATCTTAATGAATGATAATGTTTAATCATAAAAGTTAATCGTTTTTTTCTGTCTTTTTGGTTCTTGTTTTTGTTTTGTTTTGTTTTGTTTTATTTTCACCATCTGCAGTGATCATAACAACAACAACAACAAAACAGTAAAAACATATGAGATGAAAATTGATAAGCATAGGCAAAAAAACAATCCACTACATGGGGTTATATAGCGATCCAGAATCGACAAACAAGAAAAAAAATTATATAGATAACCAGAAAAAAATGTCGCTAATGATCTTGGTGTGTGTGTGTGTGTGTGGGTGGATGATGGTGGTAAATAAATGAATCGTATGCCAATCCTTAATTTTATTGATCGATATCCATTGTCAGTGTAGTAGAAGCACTTATTTTTTGCACAATAACTTTGTTCATCTCCATTATTATTAACCATAGTGAAAATGGGGAAAAAAATATGATTACAGACTTTATACAATCAGTTATGTTAGAAAAAAAAACAAAACAAAACAAGAAGTCAATCATCATAATGGATCAAAATGGATTTTTCAACAAGTCATTAATTGTTGTTCATATATTTGTGATATGATTATCATAGATCAATCATCGTTTCTATGGATCTTTTTTTTGATTTTTTTCCTCAAAAAATGTTTTTTTTTATGCAACAAAAATTTCGAAAATCCATATTAGTTTAAATTCAGAAACATAGATGGCGATCAATGTGTACAGAACAGAAAAATAAATATTATAAAAATAATTCGATTGATAAAACACACATGGAAAACCAATGAAAAAAAAATCCTTTGACCTTTACCAAAAAAAACGACAAAGAATATTGACCACATGTTTTTTTTATTGTCGAATCAATTTTTATAAATAATAAAGATGAAACAACAAAAACAACAACAGGCTGATAAAGATCAAAAAAGAAACAATAACAACAATAACAACAACAACAACAACGAAAACAAAACAAAACTAAAAAAATTCATATTTTTTCATTTCCCAATTTGATTGATCGATTGATTTTGAATTTATTCAAAAAAAAAAAAAAAAATTCAATGTCCACGTATTGGACATATCGCATTTCATCGTTTTCCTGTGTGTGTTTTCAATCAATAATATATATATGTAAATGTCTTTGTCTGTGTGTGTGTGATTGACCTCTCACTCTTGTTCCCGTTATGAAAAAGTTTTTTTTCCCATTTCCACTATGAAAACAGTACACAAAATTGATCAAAAAATCAAATATCATTGATAGAAAAAAAAGATACACTCAATCAAAATCTAATATTGTTCACACACACTCACACACACAAAGTTTCATATTTTTTTTGACAAAATCATTTGTTATAATCAACACCAATTTGATGACAAGTTTGCTGTTCAATCAAATAATAACATACACACACAGAGAGAGAGAGAGAGAGAGAGAGAGAGAGACTATGTGTCCATTGTGTAGGTGGTGGTTGTGGTCACCTTGTAAGTTATTTTTTTTATTGTTGTTGTAGTCATTTTTCTACCCTTTCGTATCCCGGGTTCGTGTGTGTGTGTGTGTGTGTTTAAAGACCTGTATTTAATATTTGCACGTGTTGTTGTCGTTGTTTTTTTTTACCGAACGGGTAAAAAAATCAACAACATATCTTCATATATATTAATATATCCAGAACGGAAAAGGATAGTCTACGAAAATGAAAAAAAACAATCTTCTAGACAAACAAACATACATAAATACAATGTGTAATCGAACGGGTTAAATCTATCAATCTATCTATCGATTGGTTTGTCATTCATTCATTTTCAAATACAATCAAATAGTGTATCTTTTTGGTTTATAATCAAACACACACACACAGACAAAGAGTAAAAAAAATCATATCAAATTTCAAAATGAAAAAAAAATCATATTTTTTTATAGAAACCAAACAAACAAACAAATCATTTTTCATTCATTTAAATTCATTTTCTGACATCTTTGTGTGGACAATACAAAATTGACCACACAAAGCTTGTCATAATAATCAATAATGGATTTGTTTTGTTTTGTTTTTTTTTTGTCTTTGCTCGATTGTATCGAATGTAGCAAACATTTTTTTTCCAAGTTGACCCTTTTTTCTTAGTGGTGGTGGTGGTACTACCGGATATCATCTTTGGAGCGCGTATCAATAATAATAATCTTCATCGATCTGATGGATTGATGAATCAAACCAACAAACGAACGAACGAACGAACAAACACACACCCATTTATCAGTTTAATTCAAAAGTCTAAAAAAAAAAAATTTGTTTTTCAAAGGTCATTTCATCTCATCTCATCTCATTCGATTATGTACCGGTCCATTGACCGTTTTTTATTGTTGTTGTTCAGTAAAGAAGAAAAAAAAATAAGCCGGTCAGTTCAAATGTTCATTCATGTAGCTAATTTGTTCTCTTTGCGATACCCGTGTTCATAATCGTATAAAATGTTTCAAAATCTTTCGTTTTTTTTCTTATTCATTCTTGGGTGCACGAACCACACACCGACCACCACCACCACCATGACCAAAGTTTCATATAACTTTTTTTTGGATAATAGATATCTTTAATTTGGTTTTTCTTTTGGATTGTCATCATAAGAAAAAAAATGATGATGATGATGATGATGACTTGAAATTGAATTTGATCGGGTCATTCTTGTTGTTGTTGATGGTGGTGGTGTTTTTGTCTCAAAATGAAACTCAAAAATACAGGGGCAGATGTTTACCTTGATTTCACATGGAGTTGTGGTGGTGGTGGTATTACTTTTGAAAAAAGGGGTAATATCCTATGGTTAAAAACAAATTGTATTAGATTCACTTTAGTTCAATAATCTTTCAATGGTTGTTGTTGTAACTAAACACTACTATTATTATTATTATTATTTATTTTGATTGAATTGTTTGGCTTCTTGTTGGGAAAGTCAGTATAAAAGTAAAGAGAGAGAGAGAAAAAAAATCAATCAATGATCTAATTTGTTCTCATATTCATTTCTATCCTGTTTCGATTCGACAAACAAGTCAATAAAAAAAAATACATGTAGGGTCGATGGTCATTGGTCGATGAATGAATTAAATTGTACAAAAAAAAATTGACCATGGTCATCAATGGTACGGGGTGTGTAGTAAATGATAAAACCATATGGAAACATTTGAAAAAAAACAGTATTTTGTAATACAATTCATACACTGATAAATAATCCACTTAGCTAATAATGATTTTTTTTCATTTTCAAATGTTTTCAAGAAAAAACAGAAACAAATTCAATTCAAGTTCCGGGCATTATTATTTGTTATTTGTTCGTTTTCTTTTTTTCTTTTTTTTTGTTAAACAACGTTTAAAAACGATTATTATAAACAAACAAATGTACAAACAAAACATATGATGATGAACCATTTCAATTCACTACTACCAGCATGTTGAGATTGGCACGACAACAAAAAAAAAAGAAGAAATTGTAATTGACAACAAATTGATCGATTTCGACAACAACAACATACATGGATAAATGACATTGATTCTTGTAAATGGATAATTGCGGCATTTGGGGCCAACTATTCCATCCATCCATCCATCCATTCAGCATTCACAGCTACCACCACCATCATCATCAACGACAATTATCTTTGGTCCCTGTATAATTTCTTATTATAATTGTCGTTGTTAGCATTTTTCTTTTTATTTGAAATGAAATGATAATTTGATTGAATGAATAAAAAAAATGAATGAATTCTATAGAAAAAAAAACGTAACGAATTGACGAATCAAATTTGGATAATTTCGATTCGAGAAAAAAAATTTACCAATAAAACAAAAACAAAAATCTGAACATTTTCATCATTCATACAAAATTCTTTTTTCTTCAATCAAAAGAATGAATGAAATTAATGATGACATAATGATGGTTTATCATTGAAAATATCGATATATAGGTTTTTTTTAATGATGATCATCATCATTATCATTATCATCAACGAAGAGAAAGAGAAAAAAACAATTTTCAAGAATCATTTGAAAATCATTTTTTTCCAGAAAAAAAACCAATTCGGACGTATAGCACACACACACACACATAATTGCCAATCATTCTGAATGTAGACACACACACACACACACACACACACACACACACTGATTATTGTATTATTGACCAGTGTGTGTTTATTTCCATAGTAAAATTGACTTTATAATGTGCCAAAAAAAATGTGTGCTTTACAATAACTATAACAACAACAACAACAACAACAACGTGAAAAAAAATCGAGAAACATAACATTTCAACAATAATCGGTAATAATAAGTTGATGATGATGATGATGATGATGACGAACCATAAGTAAATTGACCATCATTATCATCATGAACAACAGCAGCAAAACATTTGTCTCTTTGGCCTACGCTATTGTTGTGATGATGATGATGATGATGAAGATGATGATTGGCGGCGATCCATTGTTTTTTTTTAGCTGTAAAAAACATATTTTTCTTGTTCATTTTATTTCTATGGATCATTTTTAAAACAAAACAAAAAAAAATACGAAAAAAAAATCCAATCGACAACTGTTGCTGTTTACCTGTTGATTTTTTTGTTTTGTTTTTCGTTCGTTGTTGTTCGTTTATGATCGATTCCGATACGGTTTTTTAAAATATGGTAAAATGAACATTTAAAAAAAATGAAAAAAAAAGAAATTGAAAAAAAATTGACTGAATGAATGATTGACCTAAAAGCCATCATAATCATCTCGATGATGATGATGTTGATGTGGTATTTGTGTATGCATAATTGCTGTTTATGTGTTTTGTGTATGCGTGTAAAATATAATATTTATATGTCAAACACAATGATGATGATGATGATGATGATGAAAAAAAAATTCATAAACTGTCAAATATGGGCTGCTAATACCATCAACAATAAAAAAAAATCGGTCATAATTTTGCATATATAATTTTTTTTTTCGTTTAGAAATTATATTCAGTTTTTCTTTCCGTAAATTATTATTATTTTTATTTTGAAAGAAAATTATATTCGATTACCAT